GGAAAGGATGTTTCCGGGCACAGGATTCAAGCACGCGTACGGCATGACGGAATCTTGCTCCGTTCTGACCATTCATCCCACCACAAAATACGACTACAAATATGCACACAAGGTCGGCCAGCTGGTGGGCTCGACAGAGTTGCGCATCGTCGACCCCGCCACTGGCCAAGACTGTGGCATAGACACGCCCGGCGAGCTCTGGGCAAGAGGCCCGCAAGTCACAATGGGCTATCTAGACAATGCAAAAGCAACGGCCGAGACCTTTGATGCAGATGGATTCCTGCATACTGGTGATGTTGGCACCATTGATGCCGAGGGCTTCGTCTCCATCACGGACCGCATCAAGGACCTGGTCAAGGTCAAGGGTATCGGCGTCGCACCGGCAGAGCTGGAAGACCTGCTTCTTGGCAACCCCCACGTAAAAGATGCAGCTGTCTGTGGCATCGGCGACAGCCACTCTGGTGAGCGCCCCAAAGCATATGTGGTGCTGCAGGACAATGCCCCACCAGCTGAAGAAGCCGGCAAAGCACTGCTAGAGTTTGTTAAAACTAAGAAAGCCAGACATAAGTGGCTGGCTGAGGTTGAAATTGTTGGCAGTATTCCAAAGAGTGCGGCAGGCAAAATATTACGCAGAAAGCTTCGGGATGGCTCAGCAATCGAGTCGGTTGCTGTCGTCCGTGAGGATGAGACGCGACCGCAATCCAAGCTTTGACTGTTGGTTGTAAATAGACCAATCAGCTGCAGTTGATAAGCGATTTTTCTCTCAAGTTTTGTTCTTTGCCCAAACTACCCAAAAGAGGCTCTTCAAATACTGACTCTTGCTGCTTATTCTTGTCGACTTTCTGTGTCTACTTGTTTCTAAATTTAAAACAACACTAATGACATTGGGCTTTTGTCCTTTTACGGATGGCTCGTATCAGCGTCATTCGCGAGCTTTCAGCCTCTATGGGGCCAATTGGCCCTACAAATAGGATAATTGGCTTACTAGCAACTAGAAATTCCGAGGCCGCCTTGTTTCTTGAGAGGCTTCTCCGTGCAAGTGGCAAACCCGGCCTTAGTCTCGCTTTCCAGAATGTCTGAGCGCCGCACTCCACTGTAATCGGCAAATGTGAAACCCTCTACAAACATGGCTTCCTTGTCTAGGGCATTCTTTTGGCCAATTACCTATCTGTGCAGGTAAGAGGCTGAGACAAGCAATCAGAATATGTGCAACATCGGAGCCGGGGGGGCTTCCTACCGGATCTCGGATGAAAAAAGACCGTTGCGACCGTCCCTTCAATGTCTTGTTCAAATTCCCAATCTAACGCCAAGACAGCTGATTTCCAGCCTTGCACCCGGTGTCTCCGACTCGGTTCCAGTAATTGCGGCAACTGGATATGACGACATGGTCAGAATTGTGGGTGCGGGCGACCCAGCAAGCAGGAACGATACGAGGATATCCGATCTATAAAAGGAAATTTTCCGTGTGCGCGCTAACAACGGGTAGTGGAATGCTATAATACTGCGTTGATATGACGTCGGTTCGGTAGGTGAGCCTTTACTTCAGGCAATTGAGGCGACTTCATTGTGTATAAAGCATAAAGCAAGCCGTCGCGATGCTGCTGAAAAGGTTTCGATGCCGTTTGTCCCAACTGCGCACGAAATCATGAAATTTCTCCATGCTATTTTTCTGACGGCGCTAGCTAGCGCCTGCCCAACTCCAAAGGACTGGACTGTGCGAAAATGGGATGCCATCATCGTCGGTGCTGGTACCGCGGGTATCATTGTTGCCGATCGCCTCAGTGAGGCCGGCCTCCAAACTCTGCTTCTTGAGCAGGGAGGAGCATCCTACGGCATCACTGGCGGAACTGAGCGTCCGTCTTGGCTGGGTGGCACAGACCTGAGCCGAGTTGACGTTCCTGGGTTGTGTAAGTCAAAAACTCCGTCAACCCACTTGATGATACCCGCCGTTGCTGAATCTAACTGTTTTTTTTTTTTTTTCAAGACTCGACTATATTCGGCACACCAAACTCTAGCTTGCTTTGCAAGGCCGATGCCGTACGAGCCTTTCAAGCCTGTACAATCGGGGGTAACAGCGCAATCAATGCTGGTCTATACTTTCAGCCGCCGTCGTCGGACTGGGACGACTACCACCCGGCAGGGTGGCATGCCGCCGACGTGCAAGACGCTACGGGGCTGCTTTTGCAGAGACAACCTGCCGTTACAAACTATTCCTCCGACGGCAGGACATATGTGGAAGACATTTACGATGCGGCAAAGAATTGGCTTGTTGACGGCGCCGGATACGCAGACGTCTCCTTTGCGGACCAACCCGACCGCAAGGACAAGGCCTACGGCCGCCCCGTCTACAATTACATTGACGGACAAAGAGGCGGTCCTGCGAGGACGTATTTGCAAAGCGCTCTCTCGCGGCCAAACTTTCATCTCTCGACCGGGGTCAAGGTCAGCCACATCAACCACAACGTCGGAAAAGCTTCCGGTGTCGAGATTGACCTTGGCAACGGCACAACAAGATCCATTTCCCTTGCGCCAGGTGGCCGCGTCGTGCTCAGCGCGGGCGCGCTCCAATCGCCACAACTTCTGATGCACTCTGGAATCGGGCCTCGCGACGTTCTCCAGACACTGTCCGACAGCTCCTTTGGCGCCTACACCAACTCGTCGTCCTGGGTCGTGCAGCCGTCGGTGGGCGAGGGCCTCTTTGACAACCCAAACACCTTTATCCAGCTCTCGTCCCCGGCCATCCGGTCCTTCAACTACCAATACGACAACCTCGACGCCGAGGACAAGGACCTGTACCTCGACGCGAGGAGCGGCCGCTACTCATTTGCGTCGCAGGCGGCCGCGTTTTGGACGTACGTGCCGCACGAGGACGGCACGCGCTCCGGCGTCCAAGGCACCATTAGCTCCTCGGGCTACGCACAGTACACGGACAACCACACCGTCACGCTCAACGTCTACGGCACCTCTGGTCTCCTTTCCACCGGACGCGTCCAGCTCTCATCCTCCGCCGACGGCAAGTTTGTCGCTGGCGCCAGCGCCGACACGTACTACTCCAACCCGCGCGACGCACGCGCCATTGCCACGTTTGTGCATGACATTTTCCAGGCTCTGCCGCCCTCGACGCCCGATGCTCCCGCCGCAGATGGCTTGACACCGCTTAACATTGCGCGCGACGCCACCGTGGACGAGATTGAAACGTACATTACGACGCCGTCAGACTATGCGCGCGGACAGGTCAACCACTGGTCCAGCTCCTGCCGCATCGGTAGCTGCGTGGATGCAGACACAAAGGTTATCGGAACGGACAATATTCATGTGGTTGATGCGTCGATACTGTCGCCAATGACGGTCAATCCGCAGTTTGCCGTCATGGTTGCGGGTGAAAAGGGAGCGGAGAGGATTCTGGCTCTTAACTCTCGGGAATAATTGAAAAGATATACATCTCGTGGAGTGGGATGCGAAGAAAATTGGTAATATTGAAACAGGGAAATTATCGGGCATCATTTTGAGTGCGGATGGTTGTGTACATATATAGGCAACGTCTCATCGCCACATACTTTTACGTTATATAGATTTATCTGGCATTGTCACGCGAACATGAATACTACATTAATTTTTAGTAGATTTTACAAACTGCATACATTTGATTCATTCCAGTGGCGTCCTCCCTTTTTAACCTCGGTGTGCTAGATACATACTCGCTATTGCTGTTTGTATACCTTGGAGATGAGTGTACATCATACCCTTCCGCACACCACATCTTCCTCACTATGAGGCCTGACGGGGAGCACTCTTTTGTATACACCGCACCAGAACTCGCTTCTTCTACCGCCAATCACATCCCTTAGCCAAGGTTTTAAAGTGTAGTAGAATTACCTATATCAGTCTAAATCGACAAAAAAAAAACATCTCCCCAACTAAACATAAGCCAAGGCAATTCCCGCAAACGCACCTTGCCCCTCATACAATCTCTTCCTATCACCACCATCCAGATTAAACCTATACACCGCCCCGCCCAAATCCGTCGTGTACAGGTGCCCATTTCTCAGATCCAGCTTGATGCCAATCGCCTCGTGCAAGTTCCTCACCAGCAGCTCATAGTTCTTCCCAGGCAAACTCCTAGGGCTAGAGTCCTGCAGGGGCTCGATGCCGTCCAGCTTGACGCGATTGATGCTGTTACCCAGAGGCAGCTCGCCCCGGTCCGTCCAGTACAGGTATCCGCGCTCCTCGTCCATGTCCAGGTCAATCGGCTCGGGCAGCTTGGTGAGCAGCGTCTCAATATCTGTGCGGTTCTTGGCCGTCTCCCCTCGGGGAAAGTCAATGTTGGCGCGGAGGATGCGGCCCTTGTTGCCCTTGGACGGTCCCTTTTGCGTCCAGTAGAACTTGCCGGTCGCGGGGGAGACAAAGACGCCGACGCACCAGCGCGTCGCGTCGCCCTGGTGCTCGGGGTTGCGAAAGTCGCCGGTTTCGATTATGGTTTCAAAGTCAGAGCCGTCAAAATTGCTGCGGTGGACGCGCAGACCTTCGCGGTCGGAAAAGTAGAGCTTCGAGTGGACTTGGTCGACGACGAGCTGTTTTGGGGTGTGCACCGATCCGGCGGGGATCACAATCTTGGCGTCGCTGCCGTCCAGGTTGGAGCTCCAGATTGAGCCGTCATTCTTGTCGGGAATCCCCATGCTCGTCCAAAAGAGCTTGCCGGCCGACAATGCAACATCAATGCCGTCGGGCGTATGTTGCTTGTGAACCAGAGGCTTCAGGGGACGCTCATCCGAGGCGCCAACCAAGACGCGGCCGGCAGTAAAAGCTTCATGCGGTTCGGCAGCAAGGCCAATATCAAGGAAATACAAAAGAGGCGCATGCAAGTTGTCGGCGTCGCCGCTGCCACTCTGAGTGGCAGATCCGGGAGGCAGCAGGCCTCCCTTGGCAGATTTGGTTCCGAGACGGCCTTCATCAATGTACTTTTGGAGAAACTTGACTGGCGTGTCTGGTAGTCCGCGCTCGTCAATGTAGTGCTGCTTGATAAACGACACGGTGTCGAGGCCGACAGCATCCATCATGCCGACGGGACCGCTCTTATTGCCGGCCCAGACCTCGGCCCAGAGCTTGTCGATTTCCTCGGGCGTGGAAACCTCCTCGGCCAGGATCGTGAGCACCTCTCGCTTGATGGCTGCCCACAGACGGTTGAAAATGAGGCCGGTAGACTCCTTTCGCGCGACATAGGGATGCATGCCCACAGCCTTGAGCTTCTCCACGAGGAACGGAAAAATGGCCTCGTCCGTGTAGCCGTCGGTCATGAGCTCCACGATGCGGTTGCGCGGCGGCATGTAGTAGTGCATGTTGAGGATGCGCTGTTTCGTGGCCTCTTGCAGGCCGTCAATCATTTCGCGGCTCTTGTACGACGACGAGTTGCTGCACAGGATCGCGTCGGCCGGCGCAACCTTTTCCAGGTCGGCAAACGTGGAAATCTTGAGCGGCAGCTTCTCCGGGACGGCTTCGATAACCAGCCACGATCTCGACACAGCCTCCTTGAGATCCTCCGTGGCAGACACCGCGCCGCGCTTCGCAGAGTCCGAGTACTGGCCAAAGCTCGTCTCGCAGTAGTGCACGGCGGCGATGCGCTGCTCCTGGCTCGGATCGCGAATGACGGCGTCGAAGCCCGAAGCGGCCCAGGCACACGCGATACGGCGGCCGAGGACGCCACCGCCCAGGACCGTGACGACACGACCGTCGGTGGAAGGTAGTTTAAAGCCCATTTTTCTTGGATGTATAAAGAGAACTCTGAAAAGTGCAAAAGAAAAATACTAGTCGAATAAGCGTGCAGGCATATAGTTGTCCCTTGAGACGAGGGCCCTATGGCGCCCTTTTATACAAAAATTTCGTGCATTACATCTTTAACTTGTTGGTCCCGAAACTTTCCACGTCGGAAAGGAATGAGAGCTACGTCAAACCGGCGTGTTGGACATTGCCTAGCAGGCGCTAAAAGTGCCGGATCGTCCCTAAATAGGTATCCACGACTTTCTACGGGTGCCCCGATACGCCACTGCCGACACAACCGGGATCGATGGGCACGATAACTGTTATAATTCAGCCAGTGATTAGATTTGGACTAGAAGGCTCAAAGTCGTGCACGGTGATACGTCTCATGCAAGCACTCTTATCCGGCGCCGGACTTTTTCAAAAGAAAGAATCCCGGAGCGATGAGACCCCACCCGGTCCGTGGCCCCCCCACCCCACCCGCAAAACCGAGGCAAGGCCCCGTAAAAATGCCCGTTGGCCCACGGAACTTGTGCATCATAGACTCCGGCACAGCCTAGCGTCCGCCTGAGAAGCTCTGTCCGCGGACTAAACCGGCGTAAAGTTGAACGGGGGGAAGCAACAAGAAGAAATGTCGCATATACTGGGGGTCCCGGTGCAAATCCTGTGAAAGAATGCCACACCCCGTCGCTGCCGTCTCCTGGACTTAGATAAAGGCTTCTACCGTTTGCTGACAGTTCAATAATTTGATTCGCGCAAGTCTGACAGCGTCCAAGCAAGACGCGCTCAATAGTTGCTCAGCCGAGAGCCAGTAGAGTGAGCATGCTTTTAATTGATACGTTCAAGGTGATTAAGTAGTGCCAAGTCCCGTCTCTACCTTGGTGCTCAGATTCTTCTTTCAACATGAGCGCCGAACCATTGCCATACATCGGAATAAGTACATTTGCTCCCTCTTCTCTTCCAGTCTGCTACAGGCATTCAATAGCACGCAAAAGGACATCGATACCCTTATCGCCGATCTCGCCCTTGTCGCCCAGCAGATTGCCCACATCGCTGAGGATACCCAGCGGAATGTAACACCCAGTCTTTGCCTTATCCAGAGAATCCTTGAGCCTGCTTGTATGCTCCCATTCCTTGGCTGCCACCTCGGCGCGCTCAATCACACTGTTGGAGATGCCGCACATGGCGGCGCAGTGCATGCCGAAACTGCCCTCGGCAACGCCATCTTCCAACTTGTAGAGAAAGGTGATGCGGCGCTCCTGGTCGTCGACGTGAATCTGCATGCGACGGGCTCTGATTTCCGGATGGTTCTCAAACTCTGTGGCAATAGAATGGTAATGCGTGGCGAAGAACCCGACACAGCCTATGTGCGTCGCCACGTGGTGCAGTACAGCTTGAGCAACCGCAACACCATCATACGAACTTGTGCCACGACCAAGCTCGTCGAGAATGACGAGTGATCGGGGAGTGGCTTCGGACAAAATCTTCTTGGTTTCAGAAAGCTCAACAAAAAAGGTAGACTGCGATGCAAAAATGTTGTCGTTGGCACCAAGACGCGACATGATTCTGTCCACAGGCGTGAGCTTTGCGGAAATAGCTGGTACGTAGCAGCCAATTTGCGCCATGATGACGGCAATGCAAGACTGTTCCACGTTAGATTGACTCATCTCTCACTGATTCGACGAATGCACTCACCATTCTTAGCACTGTAGATTTGCCTGCAGCGTTCGCGCCCGTGAGCAGGTTAATGTTGGCTTGCTCGCCACCAAGCTTGATGTCGTTCGGAATAAAGTCACCATTCGTGCTCAGCATGCATGGATGGCGCAGCTCTTCAAACTCAACGAGGCTTCTGTCTTGATCTACAAATTGTGGGCGGCAACTTGGCTCGCCCAGACACAACGATGCCTTGGCCAGGCTGACCAAACAGTCCAGCTGGGCGATGACCTGGATAGCGGAGAGCCAGAGCTCGTAGTCGACGTCAAACTTTTTGCAGAAGCGAGCAGCGACGTCACGGACCAATTGTGAGTGAGTCTCTTCGGCTTCCTGGAGCTCACGGACGAGAGCTGTCAGCTCTGAAAAGTACCATCGCTTCACGTCTTTGGTGGACGACATCTGGCGCCAGCTGGAAGGAACTTTGGTCGCTTTGGGTGCTTCGATTTGGTAAATTTCCTTACCGACGTCGGTAAATTTGAGCGACTTGCACTTGAGCTCCACCTTCTTGTCTGCCAGCAGCTCCTGAAGCTGGCTTTTTATAGTCTCTATGCGCTCCAAGCTAGCATCGAAATCTTCCTCAATGCCGCGCTCAGGAATGAGAATCTTGTCCTGCTTTGCCTTTGGTCTGTCAAAGGCATTTCTCCAGTAGGCGAGCGGCTCCTCGAGGTCGGGCATGGCAGAGATCAGGCGATCAAGCAAGCCATTGCTGCCTTTGAAAGCAGAAACCAGGGTCATGGTGTACTCAATCTGCTCAAACCCCTCCAGAACGCGGACAAAGTCCTCTGGCTTGCACGAGCAGGCATGAATTCGAGAGATCAAACGCTCCAGGTCAGGCATCTTCACTAGCTGAGAGGAAAATTGCTCACGAACAGATGGATCTTTGTTGAGCATGTCCACTGCATCTAAGCGCTCATTGATTCTATCAATGTTCTGTAGAGGGTGGGCGACCCATTGTCGGAAAAGGCGTTTGCCGAAGGGTGTGATGCACTTGTTAAGAAGCTGGAACAACGTGCCTTCGCTGCCGCCGTTAACAGAGTTGGAGAAGATCTCGAGATTGATCAGGGTCTGGCCATCAAGAATGAGAGTGCCGTTCTTTTGGATGGGGTTGTACAAGGAGAAATTGCTCTGGGAAAGCAAGGGTCGCTCCAATTTGAGAAAGCGCAGATACCAGATCAAAGCACCAACCGCCGACATGACTCGGTCATTGTCCTTTTCCTTCTCAAGAGCTTCTGGCCACGAGCCCTCGCTCCCTTTTTCCGTTGAAAAGTAATTCGCAGCGTTGAGCTCACGTCTGCAGGTGTCGGCATCCCAAAATTCAACGTCCGGTTTCAAATATGTCCAGATTGTGGTAGGGCTGGTATTGTTTTTCAGAATTCTGTTGGCCTTGGTCGAGAGATGCGACTTCTCGAGCAGCATTTCTCGCGGACCTATTTGTGCAATGAACGTCTCAAACTTTGTCAAGTCAACGTCGTCGATGAAGTCGGTCAGAAAGAAGTGGCCAGTAGCTGTATCGACAAACGCGATGCCAAAGGCAGGGAGCCCGTCTACAACAGATTCCTTAATGGCAACACAGTGCGCAGCCATGTCATCTTGGAGCATGCTGCCGTCCACCAATGTTCCAGCAGTCAGGACGCAGGCAAGTTGACGAGAAATCACCTTGTCGGCCTTCTTTCCAGTCTTGTCTTGTCTTTCGCGCATCTCTTTGCCCAGATTGGTTTCCATTTGGTCCACCCTTGCAACCTTGTACTGCTTGGCAATGAATTGATTCACCCAATGGTCGAGAACACTCTCCGGCACCCCGACCATGCGCATGTTGACGCGATCGGTCATTTTGAAGTCAAATTCCTGATGGCCGATCGTGGCATCGTTTTCGTATAGCTCGTAGAACTTTCCCTTTTTGAAGAAAACGATTGTGTCCCAAAGATTTTGTTTGATCTCCCAGTACTGCTTTTCAAATGGGGAGAATTTGCTCCAAGCGAGAGGGGGGATATAAATAGTTCGTGGGTCGTAGTCTGGATCTCCTGGCTCGCGTCTCTCCTTGTCTCTTATCTTAGAGAGCCAAGAATAGCGTTCCTCGGGTTCCTTTGTGTAGGCCTTTTCCTTTCTCTTTGGGTCTTTGGCAGCACGCTCAGCTGGGGTAGTGACGGGGCGCTTCTCTGCGGACTCGGGGTCATAGTTCCATTGCTTAGCACTAGCCGGTGGCGGAACGTCGGTCATGACTTCGTCCTCATTTAGATCGCTCAGCTCGTCTTTTGCGGGGGGCGAGATGTTTGATCGCTTTCGGGCGCTGGCCGGTTGCGATGGTCGCTTCCTCTTCTTAGGCCTAGGGGTGTCGCCGTCCGATTCGTCCGAAACAACAAAATCGTCAATATCATCTGTGGGATTATTTAGACTTGTCCAGTTGCGAAAGGTTCATTCAGGCTCACCTTCGTCATCTTGCACTTCGGCAGAGCCATCATCACCGTACTCGTCCTCGTCGTCCAGAACCGGTCGCGTCCTAGTGCGGCGGCGGTTTAGGGTCGACACAGGCTCGTCGTCTTCCGAGGATTCTGCATAGCTCACGGCTTTTCGTGACTGCAGCAAATTGTTAGGTAGTGTTTTTAGGCAAACTCAAATTACCACAATGGTTTCTTGTGCTTGACTTACCTTCCTTCCGGGGCTACTACCGGCAGAGTCCTTGAGCGCTGATCGAGGCTTGGGCGTCGCTTTGAGGGCCATGGTTGGGGAGCTGGGTGCATTTTTGCTGCGAGAAACTGCGTCAAGATTCTCCTGCGAGCTGCTGGGTTCTAACGCGTCGCTCGAAGGCACAGGTGTCGAGAGTTTCTGCGCAGACTTCGCCTTTGGTAAGAGGTTGGCCTTTGTCTCCTTTAGACACGAACTGGGATCAGAAGAGACCTGTTTGCGTGCAGCTGGCGAGGGCGTCGCAGCCGGCGATGATTTCTGGAAGAAAGACATGATTGACTTTTGCTTGGCGGAAGAGGATATCGATGCTGCAGCCTTTGCCGGCTGTCGCGCCGGAGTGCGCGTAGGATTGGTGTCGTCGCCGGCCATGATGCACGAATTTGCACGTCAACGCGTTTGCTGTATGTACGCGCGGCTGGCAAACACAGCAGAGAGAGTATTCGCCTAAGTATACGTCATGCAAGTCAAATTAGAAGCCGATTGGACATGGACACAATATAATTGACAATCACAATGTTGAGAAAGTATGGAGTGATGACTGAGGAGATGGATGGACGAGCACGACGAGCACCCTCCACTTTAAGCTGGCGCGTACAAAGTCGCGTTCTGGCCAGGGTCTCGCGTAAAGCGACGCCCCACAACCCTGGCATCCCCTTTATCGCCTGAGATTTCCCCATGAAGGTTGTAATATGAGAGAAATTTTTCTTGTGAAACTACATGATCAAATCTTGAGCGTTGTGGCACAGAGATGCCGCAGTGGTTGTGGTACACCCACCCCCATCACCTAGAGCAGAACCCAGCTGATGGGAGAGGTGGCATGGTCTTACGCCCTAATAGATGGTTTCATTTCTTCAAAATCCGATGCAGAGTCCTGGAGATGGCCAACACAAGGAGAAAAACAAAATATCTCAAACCAGTGCTATGGCCAGCCCGCAATATTTTTCGGGCACGCGTCACAATCTTGTTTGCGCGTGGAAAGCTAATGTCATCATAAGCTTCAATCGCCTTCGCTAGTACCTTGCCTTTGACGAGTTGCTCTGCAAGATCCCATGCATCATTCAACCCAAGATTTGCGCCGTATCCGGCAAAGGGGCTGAGGGCGTGATTGCAATCACCAATAAAGATGACCGGCATACTTTCAAAACCGGAATGCCGGAACGGCAACTTGTCGTGGGCATTCATGCGCATCACCGTAGCTGGATCAGTCAGTGAAAGGATTGTCTTGAACGGCTCATCGATTTTTGAACCAAGCTCTGCAGCTTTCTGAATGGTCTGGGTTGCGTCATCAAGATCGGTAATGTCTCCTGATGTCTTGTCTTCCAAATGCCCAACAGCCCATTGCAGATCTTTCTCTCCTACAGGGGACACAAAGCATGACGTGCCTGTACCGGATAACACAAAGCCCCAACTCCTTCCAATCTGCTCGGGAAGTGGCCCGGGAAATCTTGATACGCCGGTACGCATAACGGCTCCCGTGTATTCGAGCGGATCGGTCGGCCGTAATTGGGCGCGGATCTTGCTATTGGCTCCATCCGCGACAACAACGAGATCACACTCCATAACTCTAGCCTCATCATCTTCGCAACGAGTGATTTGCAATGCCATTCGACCTGTGGGCAGCTTTGACACGGAAACACATCGAGTGTTCCATTGAACGGCGCCTTCCTTATCCAGTTGGGCGGCCTCGAGCAGTATTCGACGGACCTCATTTCGAGATATGCGTACACTGGACGTGGGCATTCCACTTATTGGCGCGCGTTGGCGCCCTGCGAGTTCCTTCCAATCAGTTGACCACAGTTTGAAAGTACCGTCGCCGTCCACTCCAGCGACAGCGTTGCGCAATACGTCGTCGAGAAGCCCCATCTTGCTCAGAGCGACAAGGCCCCCTGAAACGTCATGCCCAACAAGAGATAAGCTATAGCCTCCGCATCGTTCATGATCTCGTGATTTGCGATCGAACACAGTAACTTGAGGAAAAGCAACCTCGTGGTCCCAGATCGCTCTGAGACTGGCAACAAAGGCAGAGCCGGAAATTCCAGCTCCAATGACAAATATCGACTTGTTGGAGAGGAAATGGCAGGACGAGGGGACAGCAGGCATCGTATTGCGCTTGATTCGAATATATATGGAGTTGGGGGAGGAATAAATATTATAAGAAAGAGTGTCGGGGAAGCAAGCCAAACGAGGACGGCATCTGGCGCGACAATGATCAAGATGAGTGATTGATGACTTGGGTCAAAAGCTTCGGCAGCGGCCCCTTTTATTTGTTCTGCATGACGTCGGGTACCATTTCGGGAACATGTGTGCTCAGTGCAGACACGCAATGCCGTTCACGGGTGAGTGGAGAGTTGTTCAAGGCGCTGCTTGATTGCGATACTTGAGGTGCAATCCTTGAACATTATCTCATGATCCTGGAACATGGATAGTGTTATTAACGTGAATAAGATTGAGTCCAGCAGAGAGAGCCGAAGAGTAAACACCGTGGGATTCATTGCTAGCAGGATAAGAAGACGGGTACTTCGTCCTAACCGCAGACCTCTGCGGAACACTGTGACGCATCCGAAAAGGGATATATCGATACACGAGGGGTTCATGCCGGCGGGTACACCCGCTTGCCGGCCTACTTAGGAGCTCCGTTGACTTTCAGGTTCGAATCCGTCAGCTTAATGTTTTGAGGGTTTTGTAAGGCTGCATCAAGTTCCTGGTCAATGACCATTTCGCGAACAACGGCCAAAAAGCAGCTTATTTGACAAGATGCCGCTGCAACATAAAGTGAGGGCAAGTACCAGGGCAAACATGTCGGTCATGCAGACTCGCAGCTATATGTGCCTCGAATGGCTATAACAAGACCGAGATTTGTGTCGGCAAATGGCACGCAAGCAAGCAAAAGAAATGCCAATCCTTGGCCAACGGCCGCATTGGTTACGCCCGCTGTCCCAATTAGGGAATTCGTATCGCTGCCCCGCGCAGTCGGCCGAAGCGTTACATGGCATAATGGGCATACTTTGCAGCGATTGTGACTCGGATTCACATACGAATATCTGTATTGGTAAATCCATATGCACAAGTACCCAGCAGAATCGCGATAGGTTACATGGCTCCAAAGACTGCATGCCCAACTGCGTGCGTCAGGTTGCTGATCGTATTAGCACCAGGTGTGGCGCGCTCATTCGCACCCGGACCCCGCATTCGCACAGTGCAACATTGCCCCGCCAAAAGATTTTTGCATCATTGCATCAAGCCAAATCATGCGAGCATCACTGGAACAGGTTAACCGGGCACCTAGGCTTTTGCAACATGTCAGCCGAACTAGCTGCCCCGCCGGTTCTCTCTACCCCCGATGATCGTATATTTGAAGTCGCTGCCGAGCTCAGTGCGACCTCGTCCCTCAGCGACGACGAGATTCGCGAAATCTACGATGTCGAACGAACTGTTACGGAGCTGCTGGTTGGCAAGTGGACGAAAGTTGCTCTTCAGTTCCCGGACCACATGCTCGTCGATGCTCCTCGAGTCGCAGAAATCTTGGATCGAGATTTAGAAGCACGTCACGAGGACAAGAAGCCAGTAAAGATATCTATTCTCGCCGATACGAGCTATAGCGCCTGCTGCGTTGACGAAGTAGCGGCAGAGCATGCCGATGCCCAAGTCGCAGTGCACTACGGCCGAACGTGTCTGAGTCCGACGAGCCGGCTTCCAGTGATATACGTATATACTACCCACAAGCTGGATCATGACGCTGTACTGCAATCATTTCGCGGGGAATTCGGCGACTTGACCAGCAAAGTGGTTGTCATGGCTGACTTGACATATCAAAGTCATGTGGCACCAGTGGTGAGACTGCTGGAAGAAAGCGGCTACTCGGGGATTATTGCTACAGAGGCAACCAGGGACCCGGCTGGCGTGTTACCGAACCGGCGCATCGTCGGCAAAGAGTTGGACGCTGATCAACTGAAGGAGTACGCTTTATTCCACATTGCAGATCCACCGCAGTCGCTGCTTCTAGCACTCAGCTCTAGATTCACTTCTCTGCATATTCTGTCCATCCCGTCGCCCTCGAATCTGACCATCGACAACCCCACGATTCAAACTGCCGGCCTTCTTCGACGCCGATTCGCCAAAGTCCTGTCGCTTGCATCGGCTGGCGTCATTGGAATATTGGTCAATACGCTGTCCGTGTCAAACTTCTTGCCCTCGATCGATCTCTTGCGCGCAAAGATTGACAAGGCGGGCAAGAAAAGCTACACGATTGTTGTTGGTAAATTGAATCCAGCCAAATTGGCCAACTTTGCGGAGATTGAGGGCTGGGTAGTGGTGGGCTGCTGGGAAAGCGGCCTGATAGAGGATGATGCAAGCTACTGGCGGCCAGTAGTAACCCCATTTGAAATGGAAGTGGCGCTGATGAACGTAGAGGACCGAGTCTGGGGAGATGAATGGTGGGGAGGCATCGAGAAACTCCAGGTAGAAGAGAAGAAGCCTGAAACAAACGGCGACACCTCAGCGCAAAACGGCACTGGCCACGATGCCCAAGCAAGTGACGAGATCGACGAGGACGAGTCCATGCCGCCTGAATATGACCTCCGCACCGGCCGACTCATCAGTCATAGTCGGCCAATGCGCCTGGCAATCCGCTCAGCGGCCGCCAGCAGCGGCGCTACTCAAACAGGCGAAGCAAAGACGTCCGGAACTCTCATTTCGAGAGCGGCAGGCGAGATTGCCAGTATCAATGGTGTTGCTAGCCCAGGCGCAGAGTTTCTGCGCTCGCAGAGGACGTGGCAAGGGCTGGGCACCGACTTTGACCAAGAAGCTAGCACTCTGATCGAGGAGGGCAGGAGTGGCATCGCAAGAGGCTACAGAGTAGGCGATGAAGATCAGGATAAGCATTAGCATGGGGCGGCGCATCGGTTTCTGGGACGTACATTATACCCAAAAATATTTTTATACTACATGAGTTGTATGTCTTCATGGAGGTGATTACGCCTTGACCTCCTTTCAAAAGCTTCGTCATCAATTTTGGCCGCGATTCTGCCCATTCCTTGCATAGTTGTGCAATCAGAACACAAGCACTGTGCTTGTTCGCGTAAGTCGCGGACAAGCAGATGGCATGAATTCACCATGAGGAAGAGTTGAATTGTGAAAGCTTGCCTTGGATTTGTCTGAGAACCTTTGAAATTCTAACATTTAAGCATCACGGCTTGTGAGGCCGCAAGGCTGCCTCGTGCGGAAGAGCGCGAGGCTCACCAAAGCTGAGCTGTTAATCATCTTTTGCCAGAGGTTTCTGATTGAACAGTTCAAGCTGCCTTTTCCAGTACTCGCATGTTGAATCAACGAACCCAACCTCGGTGTCAAGTATTCAAAGCTTGGCAGCTGAAAAAGATGATGGGGAATTTGCTATTTCAGCCCTGCCTTCCCCACCGCTAAGTGCTTCAGCTTTGGCTTCTTTGTGATATAACCCCTGCAGTGGTTTATTTTAATGCGGAGACCCGAAGATCGTCATGGCACTATATAAAAGCTGTTTGAGGAAGAGAAAGAATCCTGAAAGAAATATGCTTGTGTAGTTTTGCATTGCTGTTGCGTTGAGAATATGCTCGCATTGTATGTCGCTGCGCTCCTCTTCTCCCCCACGGCGATTGCCCAGGAATGGCTGTCTGATCTGCACTCGAATATCCGACCAATTAATATCACTGGATTACCATATTACTTTTATCGATGGACAGGCTCGTAAGCTAAAGCCCATTCTCGCACCTGCCGGCGGATGGCTTCCCAGGTCATCACTGACATCTGCTTAGCTACTACAACGGCTCAACAACGATTCGCATAGAACCAACAGAGTTTGAAGAAAACACAGACAAGGACACAAAAGTCTCCGAGCCGGTAGAGGTTACCTACGAGAACTCTATTCTTGCCATTGTCAAGTCCAATACATATGTGGAAGGGCACAATGAACTCATCTTCTCATTGCGATACTGGGCCAACAATCTCAACATAACGCCCGTGCACGATAACGCGGATGGGCCAATCAACTCAATCCAGAATATTGACTCTATCGAGTATGTCTAAAGAGCAATCTGTATACACGGCCAATTATGCTGACACGCCGCAGCATGAACAGATCCCCCCAACCGACTGGCGCAGCGCCACCGTACTGGCAGCTGGAGAGCACGCACGGTTCAGGAACTTCATACTCATTCAGCGGCCAGCGAAACTCTACCGTGCTCCAAAGCCTCAAGTTCAACTGCTCTCAGTGTCTTTCGAGCGACGAGTTTCGCGGATCCATCGTGAACCCTCCCCGCAGAAACGTCAACCCACTCAACGTCACGAGCTTCCCCTTTGTGAGCGGACAATTCAACAACCGGTCTGCGTCTCTGAGAATCAGTGGCACATTCGTGGGAGGAGACCGACCAGGCGGCAATCGTGAAAACAACGTGCACCTAGGAGGCCCAATCACGATCAGCTTTCTTGGAGAAATTGATGAGCTTCGATCAGATACTCTGCTGTCAAGCCGAAACGGGACACCCTTATGGAATCGGACACTTGGATACACGAAGCAGTTATACGGAAATACAGCGGCGTCGATGTGGACGGGGAATCTGGCATGCTGGGCTTGCATTCTTGCCGCTGTGGCTGCCTTTTGGAACTTATAGGCGTTGGGGGATTTATTCAATGAATAGCTGGGGAGCAATTAAAGGGAGTTTGGGAGGCTTATTGCACGCTAGACATGTAGATCGTCGGCCGCGAGAAAGTAATACTGCTGTTCACGGACGCATTGTATCACCGAACAGGTGACTCAGTAAAGTCGGCGTTTCCTCACTGCTTGCGCCGCGTAGAGTACCGCTGTTGGTTCGCTCGGCCGTTTCCTATGCCTTTAGCACAGAACTCCAGGTGCATTACCAAGTGGTCTCTGACTTGATTCCTCGAAGCGCAAATCAACCTGCCTCTTCGGGACTTTACACGTATACAAGACTACGCGATGATGCGGGTCGGCAGCGAGCTTCAGAAAGCCGAAGAGTCGGTTGACAATGCTCCCAACGAATGTACCAGAGCAGTCATGGGAGTTCTCATGGAAAATTTGCAACCGCAACAGCAGAGTATGGTCGTAAATGTACTTTCGGGGGGAGGGGGGGGACGGATTCTCGGCTCCAAACATTGACACCCAGGTCTTGTAAGGTGCACATGGCAGATAGTGTTGGCGAGATCCCTCAATTTTTACCGCCAACAAATGGGTCTCCTTGGCGTTGTGCGTTCTATCCGTTCACATGCAGACAAGCTAAACACCGACTCTGGGGACAGCCTCAGGGACTTTGTCGCGCGCAAGTGACCGACCTTATTCGGCTTACGTCGTTGCTGGTTAATGATCGGCTAATCCTGCATCATATTACCTTCTACTACAGCAATGACCATGTTTTGATTCTATTGGCTGTGTGAAACGTTACGAACGGCGCACATAGCGCGTAGAGTTTCGTCCCTTTTATGGCACCCATCTGATAGCCATCTACGGCCCTTTCTGCTTCTTGATGAGTTGATCGAGTTTACAATCAGGCCTTGAAGTAGCTTGGCTTTTATGCCTTGCTTCCCTCCCGCCCTCCTCTTTTCTCGTACATTGCATGACAAAGTCTCGCGTAACTGGGAGGAGATGAATGTGGCCTAAGGATGAAGCACTTCGTTTCCGAACCGTAGCACAAGGGTGAGTGATTCACATACAGTGCTGCCTAGATATGACTAAATTTATTCTTGGCGCAAGCTTAAAGCCCTGAGCGTCTCCCAACATTTTGACAGCTAGCCCATCTGTGAGGAGCGAACGATCGCGGAGACTAGTTTATACAATAACGACCTTGAAAGCACATCAACAATGGCCGACATCATGGAGCTTGACAATTCCTATGTTGAAAAGACGGATGACAATTCCTATGTTGAAAAGACGGATGAAGTCGTCATGCCAAACCCGAGCGATGATGAGAAAAACGAACCCTGGTGCCTTGAATGCTCCTTCAAGGCTGGCGAGCCCAGGCGAACCCCCTGCAACCACCCCCCGGATGAGGCAACACGCACGTTCGAATCTACAAGCGAGGACGACAGGAAGCGAATATGCCGCCGAATTTCTACACTCGCGAGCCAGATGGATTATCTTTTCGACCAAATACTTGGGCAAACGCCACCGGACTTCCCCGTCACTAGAGAAATCAAGGTACCGTCCTCGCAGAGTTTATACGAGAAAATATTCTGATAGCTTTTACAGTATCAACAACAACTTTTGCATATTAAGTTACTTGCTGTCCTTCTGTACACCAATCAAATCGGTGGTCAGGATGACAGGGGTAAGAGAGCACTGGATGTTCGGAAATACATAGTGAATGGACAGCCGTTGCTGGCTGTTGGCATAGATTCGCTCGGTTTATGGGTGAGACTCGACACCGAACTCGACGCTGAGCCAGACTACCAGAGGCTCGTTCCTCATGATGTCGTTACCGAGGCCATCTCTAGTCACAGCACAGAGGCATGACAACATCTGAGCACGGCTTTCTCGGGGTCGTTTGGCTTTTAGTTTTCATCTACTCCATGTGCTGTCTTTTCAGATACATGATCATTCTCTGCTTGTCTTAACCCACCAACGACTCGGTCAGCCATGGCCTGTCAGCATGGCGTGATTTTGATAAATTGACTCGATCCCACATGGTCTGGCAATAATGCTACTGAAATTTTAAAGGACGACTTCTCCAGACATGAACCGCCTCGACAGTGACACAAATGTCCTACACGTCTTCAATTCTTGTTTTTACTGAGCTTAGTTTGGCACTAATCGCTTTTCGCTCATGTACATTTATTTCTCCAATTTCAACTCTTCGAATGAGATCGTGTCAGTCCCACCAGAACAGCTTAGCAGTCGGGTCCTCCTGACACTCGGCTTGCCGAGTCTCCCATAAGACTTCCAGCGGTATTTTTAGCAAGTAAAATCAGTAATACGGGTTCCTAATCGCACCCAGATGAGAAGTCATCGATCTCGTTGAGTACAGCTGCTGAAGCAAGCAAAGTCATGATGGGTGTGGGTCTTCACGACTCCAGCGCCAGCGCCAGCAACAACGGTACGTAATGCACCAACCCCGCTGTCAACGCAGCCCAGCTCCAGGCACATTCATCATCCAACATTTGCCCGACCCTGCTTCCTGCGATAGTAGAGAGCTACTCCTATCGCCCGCCTCCGATCAAATCGTTTCAAGATGCCTGCTCCCGAAGTACATCACTTGTTCCATAACCCAATCGCCGACCACTCCTTCTCGGCCGATCACAGCGTCCTCGCCGTGGCACGAGACACGGCCATCGAGCTCTACGGCAAGGTCGGCAACGCCTTTAAACTCAAGGATGAGCTCAAGGGCCATGACAAGACCGTTACCAGCGTCGACATTGCGCCCAGCAGTGGCCGCATTGTGACTTGCTCGCAAGGTACCGTGGCCCCTTTGACCGGACACCATCACCCACCACCTCTATGACGCAGACTAACGGCGCGGGTTCTCCTCCTGCCTAGATCGCAACGCCCTTGTTTGGGAGCCCTCGCCGACCGGATACAAGCCGACTCTGGTGCTGCTGCGCATCAGCCGCGCGGCGACGTTTGTGCGCTGGTCGCCGTCCGAGACCAAGTTCGCGGTCGGCTCGGGCGACCGCGTCATCGCCGTCTGCTACTTTGAGGAGGAAAACGACTGGTGGGTGTCCAAGCACCTGAAGAAGCCAATCCGCAGCACCATTACCAGCGTCGCATGGCACCCCAACTCGGTGCTGCTCGCCGCCGGCTCGACCGACGCCCACGCGCGCGTCTTTTCAGGCTTCATCAAGGGCATGGACGCCAAGCCCGAGCCGAGCGTCTGGGGCGAGCGCCTGCCCTTCAACACGGTCTGCGGCGAGTTCCTCAACAATTCGGCCGGGTGGGTGCACTCGGTCGCCTTCTCGCCCAGCGGTGACGCTCTCGCCTTTGCGGCCCACGATAGTAGCATCACAGTCGTCTACCCCACCGGCCCGGAGCAGCCGCCCCGCGCAGTGCTGACCGTCGCGACCCAGCTGCTGCCTTTCAAGAGCCTTCTCTGGAAGTCAGAGGATGAGATCATCGCCGCCGGCTACGACTGCGAGGCGTTTCGCTTCAAGGGTGGTGAGTCCGGCTGGGAGCTTGCCGGCACAGTGGAGGCCAAGGGAGCCGGTGCAGGCGTGCAGCGTGAGGAGTCTGCTCTGAACATGTTCAGACAGATGGACCTCAAAGGCAAAGCTCAGGACGATACGCAGCTCAAGACAACCCACCAAAACACTATCACTACGATTCGACCATACGAGTCGTCGGGCGGGCAGGTGACCAAGTTCTCTTGTGAGTCGAAAACGCTTAGAAGTATGATGTCTGTATACTAATTTGATCGCAGCCAGCGGTGTCGACGGTCGTGTCGTTATTTGGAACGCCTAGACAAGCCATTCATTGGCTAGATAGACAAAGTTTACCACATTTAGACAATGAAACATGTCAAATTGAGGACTCGAGTCGTATCGTAATAATGAATTGGCATGCTTTTATTTATCGAACAAAGCCTACGTTTACGGAAGAGCAATGCACTCAATCTCGACGTCGACGTCCTTGGGGAGGGTCTTGACGGCGACGCAGCTGCGAGCGGGCTTGTGGGAAAAGTGTTTCTCGTACTCGGTGTTCATCTCCTGCGGGGTGGTCAGCACAAGCGTTATGCGGCGTGATTGTAGAGAGGGCGTACGGCGAAGTGGGCCATGTCGGAGATGAAGATCATGGTCTTAACGACCTTGGAAATGGAAGAGCCGGCCTCGGTGAGGACGGCCTTGAGGTTGGCGCAGCATTGAGTGGTCTGGTCGGTGATATTGGTGCCGACAAAGCTGCCGTCGGCCCTGAGGGGAATGGCGCCGGAGCAGTAGATGGCAAATGGGGTCTTGATGGCCTGAGACTGTAGCGGGAGAGCAGGTTAGTCGGTCGTTGGCAGCGACGAGCAGCGATGTCATGCCGCACGAGCGGCCGGGATAGTGGTTTGCAACTCACGTAGGGACCGACAGCTAGAGGTGGGGGAGGGGCAGGTTAGCTTAAGGTGGGCAAGCAGGTGGATAGGCATGGGCAGAGCATGACTTACGAGCCGGAGCGTCCTTGGTGTAGATGATGGTCTGGTCAGACATGGTGGATGTGAATCTTGGAGAGGTTGGTGAGCGATTGAGTCTGGCGGCGGCGGCAAACGAAGAAGAAGTGGACGAGGCGGCCAAGAGCGGACGAGTGAAGCTCCAGGCGAGTAGTCGTCGCGGGGCAATGCGCGCAATGATCACGGGCATTGGACGTACCTGGGTGATGTGGAAAAAAGTTAGAGTTGATTTTGAGGAGGATTAGGATCGAGGACGAAGAGGGGAAAAGAAGAAATGCAGAGTTACCAACGTGGGACGTATCAGACCTTTGTAGTTGCTTGGGGGTCCAAAGAGGTGAATTCAGATAAACACGGCTGGGGCGCTCCGAGCTCCGGCGGCGGACCAGAGGCAGCGAAGCCCCGCCTTGTAGCTCATTCCAGGTCTCCCATGAGCGTTGCGAAGTTGGGCCCCCTCAAGCTGCCCCGCGATAGGACGGTTTCTGCCGGCCCAAGTCAGCGGCCCACTGTGAATGGGTTCCTTGTACCACACTATTACATGAAAGATTCGCGAGGTGGGAAAAGGACCTATTTTGTGGTGTAATGTCAATTATGTACAGATTTTGGGGGAGGGGTTTGTGTGTTATCGATCGGTAGTTTGCAGGTGGTTAAAAGTAGCAAAAGGACCGCGGGCTGTTGGCCGAGTCGCCTGCCCGGTAACAATGATCGGAGAAGAGACCCAGCTGCTAGATCGGCGGGACAAGTTAGAGACTATTTTTAAATCGTATTACGACTTTGCAGAGTTCGTTCAAGCGTTAGGATGCGCTGCGACTGAAAAGTGTAATACCACGGTGTCATGTACATTTTCGAACGGGAAGCATGGGCCGACGATCCGGCCAACGTACCGCATCACGATGGAAGGCTACACGGCATCATTTCTAGGTAATGATGTTGAGCTGAACCCAGTCTGACCGCAAAGGTCAGCAAGTATTATAATGCTGCACCGCCATTTTGTGGCTGATACGATCAAACGTGGCTCTACCAAAAGCAGCAACTCACGTATCGAGACAATTTTCGGCACACTTTAGCATATGTTGTCCATACATTGATTACCTGTAAATGCACCTATTGGCATCTTCAGTAGAAACATTGATCGCCCCCAGACAGGGCGATGCAAAGTCTCATCAGCGGCCAGCTCGCTCGCCCAAGAAGCTTGGCTACCCCTGGAAAAGGCCCAGCTGGCTCCACACTTGATCCCGACAACCAATCACAGAGGCCCAAGTACCACCAGCCCCAGAGCTTCTGACAGCTTTTTGGTGGGCTGTCAATGCTGTCTTAAAGCCCCCATCAGCTTGGACACGGTCTCAACTTGCATCCAGTCGTGCGCCAGTTCGCGAAAAAAGGAGGTTCATCGCATATACATTCCATTGCGGTGCTGAGTGCGCGTGGTCTTGCGCGTCATTCTTTCTTCTTCTTCTCTTAATCTTTTTTTCTTATTCTCTATATTGTTTTACTATACAATCTCCCTTCTCCTGCTTCCGCGTTTCTGCCATTTGTCGTGTATTCTTGACTCCAAGGTGGGTAGCTATCCCCAAGGAGGTAACGACAGCCACGCTTCTCCGTCGCCGTCGTGTTTCCTCCCCTCGTTTCGCCCCAACGCCGGGACATCATCAATCGTGCAATTCTACTTACACTCACTGTCAGCGTCATGGCGGCTTCTGCAACGCCCCAGGGCTCTCTGCGCCAACGAAATGTCGGCTCTTCCAAAAAAGTGGCTGGCGGCACGACAGCCAACGACAACCAAGAGCTCGACAAGCTCGTCAAGGCCGCCGCGGCCCAGAAGAAGGCCGGCTTCGAATGGGATCACGCCATTTCCCTCACTGTCATGACCGTGCTCGGCTTCATCACGCGTTTCTGGGGCATCAGCCACCCCAACGAGGTTGTCTTTGACGAAGTTCACTTTGGCAAGGTGCGCTCCAACATTGCGCCAACCATTTTCAACGCGAAAGCTCTCATAGCTAACTCTGCTTCCCGCTATAGTTCGCCTCCTATTACCTCGAGCGTACATACTTCTTCGATGTCCACCCGCCTTTCGCCAAGCTCCTATTCGCCTTCATGGGCTGGCTCGTCGGCTATGACGGTCATTTCAAGTTTGAAAACATTGGCGATTCCTACATTGATAACAAGGTGCCCTACGTCGCCTTCCGAGCTCTGCCCGCCATCCTCGGTGCTCTCACTGTCTCTGTCACCTACCTCATCATGTGGGAGTCTGGCTACACCGTGCCCGCCTGCCTCATCGCCACCATCCTGGTTCTCCTCGACAATGCCCACATTGGCCAGACTCGCCTTATCCTCCTCGACGCCACCCTGATTCTGGCCATGGCGTGCAGCTTGCTCTGCTACATCAAGTTTTACAAGCAGCGCCACGAACCTTTCGGTCGCAAGTGGTGGAAGTGGCTCATCTTTACCGGCTTCGCCCTCTCCTGCGACATGTCCACCAAGTACGTTGGTACCTTTGCCTTTGTCGCCATTGGCTCCGCCGTCATCATTGATCTCTGGGAGCTGCTTGACATCAAGCGCGCTGGCGGCGCACTCAGCATACCTGTCTACATCAAGCACTTTGCTGCGCGTGCCCTCGGCCTGATTGTCATGCCCTTTCTCTTCTACCTCTTTTGGTTCCAAGTCCACTTTGCCATTCTGAGCCGCTCTGGCCCCGGCGACGACTTTATGACTCCCGATTTCCAGGAGACCCTCAGCGACAATGTTATGCTCGCCAATGCTGTCGATATCCAGTACTATGACACCATTACAATTCGTCACAAGGAGACCAAGGCCTACCTCCACAGCCATGATGAGAAGTACCCTCTCCGCTACGAAGATGGCCGCGTCTCTAGCCAGGGCCAGCAGGTTACCGGATACCCTTTCAACGATACCAACAACTACTGGCAGATTCTGCCTTCTAGCGACGACAAGAAGACTGGCGTCAATGTCCTCAACAATGCCGTAGTCCGTCTCAAGCACGTAGTCACCGACACGGTCCTGCTCTCCCACGACGTCGCCTCTCCTTATTATCCGACCAACCAGGAGTTTACCACCGTCTCCTTGGAGGATGCTTTCGGCAGCCGCGAGAACGACACTCTGTTTGAGATTCGCATCGAGAATGGCAAGGCCAACCAAGAGTTCAAGACAGTCGCCAGCCATTTCAAGCTGATTCACTTCCCGAGCAAAGTCGCCATGTGGACTCACACTAAGCCTCTGCCCGATTGGGGTCATAAACAGCAGGAAATCAACGGCAACAAGCAGATCCCCCCTAGCTCCAACATCTGGATCGCCGAGGACATCCCTACACTCGACCCCAAGGACGCCCGCCGCGAGAAGCCCGCGCGCAAGGTCAAGCACATGCCTTTCCTGCAGAAGTACTTTGAGCTTCAGGGTGCCATTTTCTACCACAACAGCAAATTGACCAGCAGCCACCCCTACGCCAGTCACCCTTACCAATGGCCCTTCCTGCTCCGTGGTGTAAGCTTCTGGACCCAGAATGATACTCGCCAGCAGATTTACTTTGTCGGCAACCCTCTTGGCTGGTGGTTTGCCAGCGGTCTCCTCGCAATCTATGCCGGTATCATTCTTGCCGACCAAATCTCCCTTCGCCGTGGTGTCGACGCCCTGGATCGCCGTAAGTAGACGTCTCACGCACACTGTCGTTGCAGCACAGCTAACTGTATTCTCAGGCACCCGCTCCAAGCTCTACAACTCTACCGGTTTCTTCTGGCTTTGCTGGGCTACTCACTACTTTCCATTCTTCCTTATGGGTCGCCAGCTCTTCCTGCACCACTATCTGCCAGCTCACCTTGCCTCTTGTCTGGTAGCCGGTTCACTCGTCGAGTTTGTCTTCACCACTGGCGCTTCTCCCAACACCGACCGGCCCGGCCATAAGAGCCTCACCGCCAAGGAGCGTTTTGCTGGTCAGAGCCTGTTTGGCGTCTGGATCGCCTCTGGCGTCGTGACCGCTATTATTGCAGGCGGCTGGTACTTTTACCTGCCGCTCACCTATGGCTACCCCGGTCTTTCTGTTGCCGAGGTGCAGGCCAGGAAGTGGCTCAACTACGACTTGCACTTTGCCAAATAGCTTGCTCGGCTGAATCGACCCTAGGCGCGGGCATTGTACCGAAGCTTATAGAAAATGGTGCCTGGAGCAGGCCAATTCATGATGTTCACATCTAGAGTACGTTGTTTGCTGGGAATGGGATTTGCATTAAAACGGAGACTGGGTTGTTTTGGCGAACATGTATAAGAGAAGAATTAAGGGATGTATTCGACAGTGGCCTGTAGTAATACGAAACTTCTGTCCAATAATCAAGATTCAATTTCGTACATGCGCTGATGCGCCAAATGAATGAATGCATCGCCTGGACATAAACTCCACTAAGAGCACTACCTCCACAGTGGCCTAGGGGCTGCTGGTGCCCTGACAGCTCAAGGCTGGGCGCCCAGATAAGTTAGTCAGGGCGAAAGCTGCTTGACCCTCGAGTCTCCCCAGATTCGTCTGTGACAGCCTGGCATCAACTCCCCGGATCAAACCATCTCAACCATCTCGAGGCTCCCCAATCGGCCTCATGTGAACCAAGCCAGGCATCATTTGCGCCGTCGCACAACCCGCGGCCCGAATGCCTCTTCAAAACTCACCACCACTACAAACACCACCGCCGCGTACCTAGCATCACCACCATCATTGCTCTCGACAACACACGCGAGCTTTTCCATCCAGCCCCCTCTAAAATCGATCCAACAAGCCCAGCAAGCTCCCACCGATCATGGTGCTGCTCTCCGTTGCCACGGCGCTGTACCTCCGGCGCCTCGGCCGCAGAAAGGCCATCCGTCTGCTCCTTGTCGTCTTTGTCCTCTTCAACGTGTACGACGTGGTGCGCATCCACCAGCACCTCGCCCGCGAGCGAGGGTACGCGCCCCGCCGCCGCCGCGCCGCGCAGGAGCGCGTCTACATTGCCGGCATGCACTTCAACAACGGCGAGCTCTTAAAGGCGCACTGGAACAATGCTGTGCTGGAGCTGACGGAGCTGTTTGGGCCCGCCAACGTGTTTGTGAGCGTGCACGAGAGCGGCAGCTGGGACGACAGCAAAGAGGCGCTCCGGGACCTGGATCACCAGCTCGAGAGCCGCGGCGTGCCGCACAGGGTGGTCATGTCGGACGTGACGCACGCAGACGAAATAGCCAAAGGCGGCGCCGCCGCCGAGGGCGAGGGCGAGACGGGCTGGATCGAGACGCCGAGGGGGGCAAAGGAGCTCCGACGCATACCGTACCTGGCCAAGCTGCGGAATAAGACCCTGCAAGATCTATTCGATCTATATAAAAAGGGCGTCACTTTTGACAAGGTGTTATTTCTCAACGACGTCGTGTTTACGGTAAGGACATGATGAGACTTGGCAATCTGCTCGGGAGAAATGAAGCTTGCTGACACCAGACGGCCGGTATACAGACTGAAGACATCGTCACGTTGATGGATACCAACGACGGCGCATATGCCGCCGCTTGCTCTCTTGACTTTGCGAAACCGCCGTTGTACTATGACACTTTTGCGCTGCGCGACGCCGAAGGCAGCGCGCATATAATGCAGACCTGGCCGTACTTCAAAGCCCGCGAGTCGCGGTCACCACTCGTCAACAACCACGACGCCGTCCCCGTGACGAGCTGCTGGAACGGCATCGGTACGCTCGCCACTTGCCCCCCCTAACAGGCCCCAGAATGAAGGAAGGAAGACTGGAAAACCCATTGTGCTAACCGTTGCGTGTCCCAGTCGTCATGCCCGCAGACCCCTTTGTGTCCCCCACCAAGCTGCGCTTTCGCGGCATCCCCGACTCCCTCGCGCTGCAGCACCTCGAGGGCTCCGAGTGCTGCCTCATCCACGCCGACAATCCCCTGTCGCGCACCCTCGGCGTCTACGTCAACCCGCGCGTCCGCGTCGGCTACAGCCTGCCCGCCTACCAGGCCGTCCACCCCGCCGACGGCGCCGCCTCGTGGGTCGCCGCCGCCGACATCTTCTTTGGCCTCTGGACCAACCGCATCAAGCGCTGGACGCGCGTCTCGTTCGAGGGATGGGTCGTGCGCGCGCGCGTCGCGGAGTGGCAAAAGGAGGACATGGCGCGGCACGAGCCGGGCGTGTTTTGCCTCATCAACGAGATGCAGGTCCTGGCGGAGAATGGTTGGGCGCATGTGTGAGGGAGAGAAGATTTGGACAATAAAAGGATGGGCTATTTTCTTTTTGACTTTGGAATTACTTACAATGGGCTGCAAAGCGTATCGAGCATAAAACGCATCTAGGGTTCTGGTCTTTTGCACATTCGTATGCTGCATATGCGGAATACAATACAAGGAAAAATTCACAAAACATTCTGAAAGAAGGGCAAGAATCAACACCGACAAAGGTGCAAGACTTTGACTGGCGGAATGAAAAACTCACGTCGCTTACAACCGGTCTTGCTTGCAGGTTTTAACCTCAAAAGCGCATCAGCACCACAGTACTTAGCTCTCTCTGCCCCCCTTCTCCTCACTCCTCCATCACCTCGTCTCCGTCCGCACGCACCTCATTTACCAACCAACTCCCGCGGTGCTGCACCCTCAACCGCCGCCGCCGCCGCCGCCTCTCGCGCGCCCGCCTCTGCTCGTCGTCCCAGATGCAAGACGTGGCGCTGTGGGCGCGCAGCCAGCGGTACGCCCCGCGCGAGTGCGTGCCGCGGCGGTACTTGCGCATCACTTCCCGGAAGCGAAGTGTCTTGCGCTCACGCTCGTAAAAGACCATGTTGGCAAGATGCCTGTCAATGAGCGGCGAGTGCCAGTCGAGCATGGCGACGGCGACGGGGGTCTCGCAGCCGCCGCCGCTGGCCGTGGCCTTCTTGGCGCCACGGACCGCGGGCTCGTGCAGCGCGCCAGTCGTGGGCTCCATCACGTACTGGTCTGGGTGCGGCACTGTCATGGTGACTAGATGCCGGATCACGCTGCCGTTGTGCTCGAGGAAGCGACGTACCTCGGCAAAGGGCGTCGTGGGGTGCATGGCAAGGGCGGTGCGGATGCGGGCGAGCAGCTCGGCGCCCGTGGCAGAGTGGTGCTCGTAGACGACGGCTTCCGGGTCGTCGGCGAAATCGTCGTCATCGTCGCCGTCGCTGTTGCTGTCGCTGTCGCTGTCGGTTGAGCCTAAACACCCTTCGTCCGTGTTCCTAGTCGTAAGTGCTTCAGTCGTCGAGAACTCGGGCATGGCGATCGAGGTTTCGGCGGTTTCAGCGCTTTTGGTCGCAACCGTGGCGGCAGCTGGATTGTCTTTCTTCTTCAAGAGGCGCTGCTCTTGCTCCATGGCAGCAACAAGCCAACATGCAACGTCCTCTGAATGTTAAACGTGCTACTAATACAGACGCTGTCGCTGCTCTCTGCCGTCGCGAAGATGCTGACTTACCCGTGAGGCTCTATTTCATCATCTTCTGTAAGTCTTTCAGCTCGTCGACGGAATTTCTGCGGAATTTTCTGCGCCGTTGTTGAGGCTTTTGCGAGTCTGACTGAGATTAACCTCGAATTCGTCATAGGTAAGCGGCTCAATTTATTCGAAACTCTGCAGCGTCCGGCACCAGTCTTTCTTGGTGCTGTATAAAATCCACAAAGCCATGACAGTCTTTGAGCCTACTCGCGGGCTGTCACAGTAACACCGTGACTGAAGGCAGGGTTATTTAAGTTCAGGTCAGACGCAGAGACGGCGCCCTTTGTCCTACATTGTTGTGCCCGAGCTCGCGCAGAGGCAGGTTGAGAGGAGCTCAATGTTGTCTGCCAAAAATGCCGTGCGCGAGATACCGAAACTCGGTGATTGGGGGGGATTGAATGTTTCTGAAAGACCTAGACTTCTTCAGTGGCGAACCTTTTTTTTTTTCGTTGCCGCCGTACATCTAGGACATCAGTGACGCACTCGAACTCGCCTTGCCCTGGTTGCAAGATGCCGTAACATTGTCAGCGCAATTTTTCCTCTTTGAACAGCATCCGGGTCTCAAGTTAGGGTTTTAATATAATTCGATTTCTCAGCGCGGGCTATGACGGGCTGAGATGGGTGGCGACAGGCGGCTCTGTGTTGGCAATGAAGATGTTCTCTCCGTCTCCAAGCAAGCACTGATTGCACGTGGTATAGAAGCAAGTGAGAAAAACCAAGGCCCCAGCCATGGTAAAGTAGAAGAAATGTAGTGGAATAGCTCTATGCTTTCGCTTCCTTGTAGTTGAGTTCGTGACTCTCTGCCGATGAACCACTGCTTATCAGTATCAGCATGGTGCAAGGCTACTGCCAAGTTTGGCTCCCTGCGTGTTGGCCGACGTTAGCGTCTGACAATGCAAATTTGGCAGGGTAGAAGCATCGCCGCTGTATTTGCAGTTTATCGTGTTTTTCTTGGAACTGGATTACCACCGCACCGGAGTAATTTTCCAGTAGCTCCTTGCAGTTCGTAAAGAGACCATAGCCCATTTACTATGGCTACGGCAAACACAGACTTGGGCTCGTAATCGGTCGTGGCTAGGTACCCTACAGATACCGTACACTCATAAGCTATAGGGCTACGGAGCTATTACAAAGACTTTGCGTCACGCACATCAGTCGACCTTTGAGTTCGTAGACCGCAATATGGGGTACTAAAGCACTATGTAGTTGTCTATAGACAGCAAAGACGCCGCATGGCGGGTTAATACATGGAGTCTACACCTCAGGAATGCCCACGATCTGGCTAGGCTCTCGAGATGGGCCTGTGTCTCCGAGCAGCCGAAGAACGCATGAACCGAGCTGAGCCGTACGATCTTGCGCTTATTTTACAACTCGAGTCACACGGGCAGCTGTATAACTTCCCGGTTTCGATGCAAAACATGTCCATGCTGGGTCGCGGATAATCTGGCAGCCTGGTGACTCGGCGCTGGGAATGTTGGTGCCTTGGGCTAGCGTTTGCCCAGGCTGGGGCGAACGGTAGATGTGGAGCGTACGACGAGCCACATCAACAGGCTTCATGATAAACTGGGCGATTATTGGCCGGGATTTCTGGGGAGGTATTCAGCTCGTTGTAGGCAGGTAGGCTCATGGCAGACGAAGAGACGGACATGTCGTCAGCGCCTCAGGTTGGACGCTCGGGAGTGGAAAGGTCAGAGCGAGGGAATCAAGCCGGGAGACAGATTGACAAGTCACACAAATGGGGAGCTCCGATTCCTGCTACTCCGCACGTCGACTTGATCTTCATGGCGCTCAAAGTGCATATTAATAATGAGACGTGGCACTGCGTGATCTGTCTGGGCAGCGTACGCCAGCCCTACCAAGCGGAGACACGACGATGGGCCGCATGCACTGTGACCTGGCGCAACCGATGCCTGTCCAGACATGCGTCTTTGAAGGTCTGTTGCAGAGTTGAGAGGCCAGGGAGCTGTGGCGCGCTGGAGCTGAAGGGTTGAATTCACAATGGTGTGGTTACCCGAAAAAACAAAGAGCTCGGGTCGGGAAGCAGACACACCACTTCCGGTGGGCGAGACATGGGACAACCCAGGAAGAAGGGGGGGGGGGGGGGGGGGGGAGAACTTGACGGCGTGACACCCTTTTGGCTTACAGTGTGAGGCGGATGTGTCAAAACCGAGGTTTCTCATACCCGGTAATTAATTTAGAGGAGTTTGACCGAAAGAGATTGAGGGAAACACTATCATGACAGATTATAAAAATTTCGATTGTTTTCTTTAGCAGCCGTAACTATGTGTGATTTCCCTTTCCTGACAGAGGATCTTGTAGAGTCTGTACGGAGTAGACACGTCGCACTGTATCAGTGGCCTCGTACAGGCTGGGCATGGATCTTGGTAGACCAGGGGCGCGGGGGGGGGGACAGCCAAGTGCCAAAATGGTCAACAAGGCGTTTCGGTAGGCTTACATACGGCGAGAGCTGCGCAATGCTCGCCGCTAGCTCTATGCAAAGTCCGCAGCGCCGTGTGCGTCGCAGACGGAGAGAAATAATGGAGGTGGAGGACTGGGAGGGGGGGGGCCGAGAGCATCAGAATGCAGCGACTCTGAAGCAGCCGACATTTGATATTTGATCCTTATAATTAGTTTGTGCTGGCTCGTGCTCTGCATCTGAGTTTGTTTGCTGGCAGGAACAATGCCAATTTGCTGGTTGTTGCTGCACTGGGCGCTGTTGGCGCGCGCGGGTGGCTTGGGATGTGTGATGATGCTGGCAAGGTGTGAGGAGTACTTCTAACACTACCAAGAGACGGGAGAGGAGCAGAGAGAACCCGCCATCCGGGTATGACACCACTGCAGAAATGTGAGAGACGGAAGACGTTGGAAGAGAGTAAGCGGCCCAACAGTGTCAACAAATCCGCCCCGGACCGCTGGGTGGTGCCATGTCCGAAGCTGCAGCAGCTTGAAAAACTGTTAGTACAGCTTGTACCGAGGACTGTTGCCCCAACGCAAAATACTGGTAAAGGCCTGTCGCAGACTGTCAGTATTATTAACATTCTCCTTGGTCTCAATTTGACACTAGTCCGCTTTTGGCCCTAGTCTAGGCAGCAGCGCCAGCGGGCTGGAGATTCCCACTTTTCTTGCTGTCGTTGGTAGAGTACATCATCACCTCTTCTCTTCTCTCGTCGTCCGCTCCCGCTCCTTTCATCGTCCAACGCTGTTCTGCCCATCACACGCACGCACAACCTCAGGCCACACAGCTGGTTCATCTCGTCGCTACTCGGATCGTTACTCGTCGTCTGCTGCCAGCCGTCGCTGCTATTGGCCGATTATCATTGTCTTTTTCGTTGCCCGCACTCTTTGCTATATTTAACAACTCGCTTTCCCGCCTTTTCCGCACTCTCGTGCCCCTTCGTTCGCCACCGTGTTTGCCGACCTCTTTCGGTTCACGCCTCAAAGCTTCCTGCTACGCTGCCTGCCGCTCTCGACTCTACCACTTTGACGCTCATCGACCATTTGATACTCACTTTTACATCCCTTCGGTTCCGTTGATTGCCTTTGGTGGGCGAATCACCAGTGCGCGTTAGTTCGTCGACTGGGTAAGAAAGAAGCCGACGCAGGCCTTACACCGTCATCACATTGACGGTTTGATTTCACACACACCGCACGCCCCCCCTAACTATTCCATTTCGCCTTTATATCCTAGCCCGGTCCCGCTCTCTCTTCTTTCCTCCCCCAGTCACTTCCCCAACGGTCACCACTTGTGTCGAGATTCCGACTTGTGACTCACACCCACCCTTTCTGCATCCCAGACCGAGCCAAACCATCTTGGGCTAACCATATCTTTTGGCCACTAGCTTCTTGCATATTGGACTTACGAGCTGGCTTGCCCGCCCGAAACTCTCGTTCAACATGTCCTTTTCCAACCCGCGCCGCAGAATGATGACTCGTTCCGAGCCCATCGCTGAAAACAAAATGACAACCAAGGCTGTCACCTCTCTCCAGAAGGGTGCCACCTTTCACTCTCCTTCATCACCCAACTTTCACAGCCTTGACGACGGCTATCTTCCACCTCGTCTCACACGCTCTCAGTCTCACCTGAACGACGTGTCCGCCAACCGTCGTCGTATGATTTTGACCACCATCGAAGACATTGACAAGGCTCTTGGAAATATTTCTTTGTCGGACTCGAAACCAAAAAAAGAGTCGACCCTCAGCGATACTGCTACCCCTATACCTCGTGATTTCTTCCATGTTCCTGTCGTCGACCCAGCCATGGCCAAAGAACAGGGGCGCCCGGTTCTGCGTCCGCGCTCAGTGGGCCGCAATAGACACCACGCTTCTGACAGCGGCCTCGGGACCTCGATTGCCTCGATAAACGATAAGGTTTCCGCTGCCGATACTTTTCCCAAGAAAATTACAAAAAAACAAGCGGCTACAAGAACCGCTGCCGCCAGCAATACACACCATGCACCCGCGCTCAGCACTAAGGCCGTGAATATCATCCGCGATCACACGCTTCATCCTCTCTTGCAAAAGCCCAGTCTCAAACCCTTTGAGACTATCGTGCTGGATATCTATTCCCGTATCCATTCCAAGGACATAACCTGTTTGCGGGATGTTGAGAAGGCGCTCGAACAAATAGCTAGGGTAAGTCAGCTCTCAACTGACGTTGGCGTTTGGAATGATGCTTATCGAAATCTGCTCCTGAAAAAGCGAGCAACACCCAGAGCTCTCTGCGTCGATTTCTATCTCACCTCGATCATTTGCGTTGCAACCACTTTCGAATGTATCCATGAAAACGAACGAGTTCGACCTGGCGACCGTCCTTACAGCGGCGGATATATCGCCGACCGCATCGCAACCATCGACCTAAAAGAGCAACTTGAATACTACGGCAGACTGCTCGCAACCAAGGATATTGGTGACCTCCCCGCAGGCATCGGAATCGATGAGTATGTGCCACGTTTGGTGCCTCTGGACCACTCTGCTAATTCCTCATTTAGAGGAGATATCCTTCGCCTACATGGAGGCCCTTGCGTGAATGGCCGTCCAGCTGAATTCGTTCGCGTCAAGAAGGATGGTACTGCCTTCTCCATGGCTACTGGTGAGCCTGTTGATTTGAAAGAGGCCCCCATCAAGCTCAAGCGCTGCCTCAGCGAGAAGTCCGACGATGACGAGGAGATCATGCGGTCTATGGCTCGCCGCAAGAAGAACGCTACCCCCGAAGAGCTCGCTCCCAAAAAGTGCCGCGAGCCTGGCTGCAACAAGGAGTTCAAGCGTCCTTGCGACCTGACCAAGCACGAGAAGACTCACTCTCGTCCTTGGAAGTGCCCATTTTCCACCTGCAAGTACCACAACTATGGCTGGCCCACCGAGAAGGAAATGGATCGGCATGTCAACGACAAGCACTCGGACGCTCCCGCCATGTACGAGTGTACTTATAAGCCATGCGCCTATAAATCAAAGCGTGAATCCAATTGCAAGCAGCACATGGAAAAGGCACACGGCTGGGTCTACGTGCGCACCAAGTCCAGCGGCAAGAAGCTGCCCTTGAAGCCTGCGGACGAGGGTACTCCTGCCATTACCAACCTGTCGCCTCCCATGACCACTCCCAGCTATAGTGTGCCAACACCGCCTCAGGACAACGTGCTCCAGGACATGCCTGCCGACTTCCCCATGTATCCGGACGATTCAGACTGGCTGGCCTCAGTCGAACGTGTTCCCGAGCACATCGATACCATGGACCTAGTCGAGAACCAGTCTCCCTCTTCCTCAGCCTCTTCGTACGAGCAGTACCCTCCGTACCAGAATGGGTCCACCTTCATCATCAACGACGAAGACATCTACGCTGCGAGAATGCAGCTTCCTCCGCACATGCCTAGTGCGGAGCAATTCTACCACAAATTGATTCATGGGCAGATGCCCGATATTCTCATGGCACCGCCCACCGCCGTCCCTCTTATGGAGGTTCCCACGCACTTCTCACCAACTGGCCAGGGCAACACTATGCTCTACACTCCAGTGTCTTTACGTGACATGGACGAGGCTTTTGACGGCTCGTTTGGTGGCGAGGACGTCGATTTTCAGCTCTATGACAACAGTGCTGGCAAGTTCAACGAAGCACAGTCGCTGTTTGGAGAGCTGCCAAGTGCCAATATGGGCTTCTCCCAAAACACCCAGCCGGAAATGTTTGCTCCCATGGATTTGAACGCTCTGGACACTCTGGATTATAGTATTTTCCAGGCCTAATCTACAAGATTGCTTTTGCCCAAACGGCACAGTGCGTTTTGTTGTATATCTTTGTTTCACGGTGCTCGAAAAAAGAGAGTAGCCGTCACGAATTAATGTTTTAAGCGCAAGCGGAAGTCAATTTGTATTGCAATTTTTGCAACTAGATAGATAGTAGCGCAGGAACAATGTTTTCTTTTGCGTACGCAGATTGCACCATGTGTCAGAGTCCGTGATATGTTGTGAAAGGTGAAATTATTAAGTACATACGGATACATACTGCCACAAGCCTTGCACAGTATCCGATTAGATTTGGCAGAGGCGATCTTCAAAGGTGAGGTCGCAACTACGTCGCGCGAGCTCAAGTGCCTGGCCCACGTTTAGATTGACGTCTGTGATATATACTACGCTTGTAGATAATGCCTTTGCATATATCTGTCCAGCCAAATAATTAAAAATGGACAAGCGACAGGTGAGCCGACGCACATTACGCCTATAGTCGCTTCTACATGAACCTCCTACCAGGAGTGCCGCTGGGCCACTTTTTGATTCAGAAGCAGAGAACTAGTAAACAGGTCGAATTTATAATTAAATGCTTTTCGTACGTAATCGTTAGAGCGGGCGTGTTATCCCATTACCGGGTCGCAGATTGCTGTTTCCGCTGTACGTTGGCGGGGGAGCGCATTAGAGAAAACTGCGTTGTATATTGGCTGTATATTAAAGTGACTAGTTAGAGGCTGATATTGAGAAACTGAGAATTGCTCTTTAGCTGCAATTGCCAACCTCGACCTCGCTAGCCTCGTTGCCAGCACACTCTCCTGGCTTTCTCCAACGCGCTCGGGAGCACGTCTTCCGCAGCAGCAGGATCAGCCGGGGCAACGGCATGCTCGTTACAGCATGCTTGTTACAGTAATGTCGGTGCTGTCGAGAAAGCATCAGGTTGCAGTTTAATGGCAATGAAATTCTCGGGCCAGAATGACTGCGTGCCTGCTTGAGGAGCCGTTTCACCAGCGGCGCATGATTCTCGTCAACGCCAATCAAGTTTAATGGCACCCGGATCAATAAGCATTTACCAATACAATTTGGTGTATTTCAGTATTGGAAGTATCGAGCTGAATCTCGGGGCGGAAAATACAAGACCATTACTGCTCATCATTGTTGTGACGGATGACGTGCAGCAGACATAACCATCGCATGCACTCCACAACGACGTAGCATAATGATTGATAAAGCTATAAAGCAATAGATTGACCATTTGTGAGATATTTATCCTTGTCTTTTCCCCTTTTCTCGGGCAATGACCGCGCCGCTACTGGTCTGGACCTGGACGTACAAGATACAGCCGGCGCGCCGATGCTGCGCCGATGGAGCCCCCCCCCGGAGCCTTTCAATGCGCGAGCGAGTGCTTTTCTCACATTTTAACATGGTATTGATCAATGCAAAAGCCCGAGATAGGCTACCACTGGATTCCCCCTCCCAATCGTTGACCAAAAGTTGCGTGCTTGGGGTGCTTTGAAACTGACGTGATCGGGCCGCCCCACGACGCCATATTGCTAGAGCGCTCCTCAATGTCGCAACGCAAACGATGCGCTGCAAGCTTGCGGGGGCAGACCTGGTCAACTTTTGCAAATCAAGACATCTAGTTGGCCGACCAAGTGGCGATCGGGGAAGGCGTTAAGAATAGGCTGCTTGTAGAGGCTTGAGTTGGGATAGATAGGGTTAGACAAGGATGCGATGGCATCATGGGCGCCGTCGCCGCGCCCATCCCGCAGTCAAGGCTGCTTTACAGAGTTGTAGCCGTAGTATATCTACCCAATCGTAACGCTAAACCTTTCAGACGAGAAGAAAAAAAAAAGCCAATTTCAGTGCCCTGACCTCGAGTTGTCCCCAGTCACCAGGCGAAAGGACAAAAAAGCATGGGTTCCAAGACGGGAAGCGAGCCTGCCATAACGGCGCTCGACAATCTGGGCAGCAACTCGGACTCGGCCAGCACGTCCGAGGCATCTGCCAAGGACCGCCTGTACGGCAACGTCTTTGTCAATGGCGGCTCGGCGCAGCACTATGAGCCTATTCCCGAGTATGAGGGCCGTCACCGGTACGATCCCAAAGCCGAATGGACACCGAAAGAAGAGAAGCGTCTAGTTCGAAAGGTGAGCATTTCTCTCTCTTTTTTTCCAATTCTTCTCTTACTTTGGAACAAGAAAAGACAACATCTAACCTGAGGTGGTATATAGCTCGACTACCGCATCTGCTCATGGGTCTGCCTCATGTTCTTTGCGCTGCAGCTCGACCGCGGCAACATCTCCAACGCCCTCGCCGACAACTTCCTTAAGGACCTGCACCTCACCACCAACGACTACAACCTGGGCATGACCATCTTCTACCTCGGCTTCCTCTTTGCCGAGCTGCCTTCGCAGATGATTTCCAAGAAGCTCGGCCCGGACGTCTGGGTGCCCGCGCAAATGATTCTCTGGAGCACCGTCGCCATGCTGCAGTGCGTCATTCGCGGGCGCACCGGCTTCTTCATCACGCGCGGTTTTCTAGGAGCCTTTGAGGGCGGCTTCATTCCCGACGCCATCCTGTACCTGTCGTACTTTTACGACAGCAAGGAGCTGCCGATTCGCGTCAGCTACTTTTACACGGCGAGCAACCTGACGCCCATCATCTCGGCGTTTTTGGCGTACGGCATCCTGCACATGCGCGGCATCGGCGGCTGGGAGGGCTGGCGCTGGCTGTTTGTGCTCGAGGGAGGGCTGACGGCGCTGATTGGCGTGGTTTCGTGGTTTTACCTCCCACCGAGCCCGACGCAGACGGCCGGGTGGCTGCGCGGCAAAGACGGGTGGTTTGATGAGCGCGAGGAAATCATCATGGTCAATCGCATTCTACGCGATGATCCTAGCAAGGTTCGTAAAACCAGACTCCTTCTCCTTTTTTTTTCTCTCTGCACATTGTCGTAACCTGAATGCTGCCCCCCCGAATCCCCCCTTGCTGATATTGGCTATAACACAGGGCGGCATGCACAACCGTCAAGGCCTGAGTATACCTTTGCTCTGGCAGGCCCTGTCCGACTTTGACCTGTGGCCCATTTACCTCCTCGGCTTCACCATCCTAGAGCCCGTCGCCCCGATCCAAAACTACCTCACGCTCACGCTCCGTCAGCTAGGCTTTGACACGTTCCAGACCAACCTTCTCACCATTCCCGGCTACGTGCTCTTTGCGATCCAGCTAATCTTTTGGACGCGCATATCGGAGTGGATCAATAACCGCTTCCTCGTCGTACTCTTCAGCTCCGTCTGGCTGTTTCCGCTGGTCTTGTCTCTGCGCCTTTTGCCAGACAATGCGGGCAGCTGGGAACGCTATGCTCTGACTGTTCTCGTCATTGGCTTCCCCTATGTCCATTCCATCATTGGTATGTAGTCTTTTTGCGGGAAAAATCTGTTTCCTGTCATCGTGTCTTTGTAGTTGCTAATACGGGTCTCTGTTCTAGTCTCACTAACGTCGCGCAATGCCGGATCTGTGGCTGGGAGAACAGTCGGCAGCGCAGTGTACAACATGTGCGTGCAAGCGGGCAGCATCATTGCTTCAAATGTGAGACCAAAAAAAAAAAAAATCATCCGCAGTTGCGAGCTGATGAGAAGTTTGTATGCTAACCCGGAGACAAAGATTTACCGAGAGGACGATAAGCCCCATTACCGACGGGGCAACTCGGCGATTCTGGGCATCATTGCTTGGAACGCCGTCTTTACTCTATCAATCAAGGGATACTACATGTGGCGCAACAAGACAAAGACGGCTAAATGGGACAGAATGACACCGGACGAGAAGCGTGACTACGTCGACACGACGACAGAAAAGGGAAGCAAGAGACTAGACTTTAGATTCGCGCACTGATACACACGCGTGGTTTTCATCAACGCAGTCATTCGAGAAAAGCTTGTGAAACATTTTATTAGATTTGGTAGAATCTGTATTCGACAGAAAGAACGGTATAAAACAGATAGAGTGAGGACATGGTATAGATACGCGCAAATGCGAGGAAATCTGAAAATATACGCAAAAGCCGAGAAGAGGAAGAAGGTCATTGGGCCTACTTTCCTGTCTTTGATACATTGTCAACAGTCTAGCATCGTCGCCTATTCTCTCTCTCTCTCTCTTTCTTTTTTTTTTCTTTTTTTTTGCCAATGATACGCACTGTTCAGAAAATGCACGTCCCTTGCGTCTCGCTTCGTGCCGGCCAGTTGCCGAGGCCGCTACCGATTTCGAGCTGCAATGCCTACGATTCCAGCATTCGCGATTTCTCCAAACTCGCAGCGCTCGGAGAGTCAATTACTTTGCTACGGTAGCGAGCGAGCGCCCAGCTTCCGGACAATGCTCCGCCATGTAGCAGCTACGAGTGAAATTGTGTCGTGTAGATGTTAGACAGACATCGAAGCGGTCCGAGGCCGCGTCCTCGTATTATCTAGGCTGCTCCCTTGGCGACCGCGTATGGCAACCACAGCCGCGGACAAGCACTCTGATGAGTACGACGACATCGGGGCGGTTGTCCAGCAACAACACCAATACGGTGATGACAGGTATATCCGCAGACACAGACGTAAGTGTGGGGGGGGCGATGCGAAGCAGGCGTCGAGGAATGCAGGTAAAGTGAGGGGGATGAGGAGAATGCCTGGGCGTAAAATTGGCCCGTGTTTGAGGGACACGCATGCAGGTCCGAGGTGCGTCGCAGATGTTGGAGGCGGGTCGTTGTCGATTCGCTGGTGCGAGGGCGACGAGTCATCTCGTACCGGACGGGGGCGTGGCAGTGTCAGAAGTTCTCTCGTGGGGCGGGCTGATGCAAAAATTACTGGTAGGATCGTCGAGTATCTTGGCAATACCTGACAAACGAGTCTTGTAGACTTTGCGTCGATGGGCAATGTAATTCCGTATTCAATAGAGGCAAGTTTGACAAGGACTGGCGTGGTTGTCAAGCTTTGCTGCGCGATTGGATGCGGGGTATGTAGCCTGCGAGGATATGTCCAAATGTTTTGAAAAATGCTTCAACGCTTGATCTTTAGGACTCAAAATCACGCTTATCGACGGCCCTTTTTACCCCGTGCTCCCTTTTTCTTCTTTCCTATGTCCTCTTCATCCGTCCAGTCGTCCATGTTTCGGACAGGCTTGGATGGCTTCTTACTCGGGACCGCCGCAGACGCAGTCGCAGTCGCAGTATCCGCCTCCACATCTTCCTGGTCTCCCCGTTCCTCCTGCTCGCCCTCGCTATTCACGCCCTCGACCTCGCCATCTTCCCCTAGCTGCTCGACCGCCTCGCGCTCCAGCATGAGTCGTGCCACCTTGGCGCACTTGTGCGACGTGTACTTGTCGCGCATGCGCTTCGTCTGCGGCACAGGCTTGATGCGCACCGGCACCGCGTCCAGCCGGCCCGCGGCGCGCAAGGCTTTGAAAACGTAGAGGCGGCGGTTGTTGAGGCTAAAGAGGTGGCCGGTGGCCGGGTCGAGTAGCACGCTGATGGGGGGCAGGTCCTGGGCGCGCAGGTCGTCGCGGAGGATGGCGTCGAGGGTGTCCTGGACGCGGCGGCCGCAGGAGAATTGAGGCCGGAGGCGGGAAAAGGTGAAGAAGACGTTGTCGGGATCGACGTGGGTGAGAGACATTCTTTCTTTGTTTCTGAAAATAAGTTTAAAACAGCCTTACTGTGTTTGGTCTGGAGAGGACGGGATCCATCAAAGGTGTCGTCTATTGGCTCACGGGTGCCGTGTGAGATGTTCAGTGGTCACTAGTCAAGGCGCTTGGCACAGAGTAGCAACTCATGCCGAATATGATTGCATTGTTGGCGGATGAAGTGGCTTCAAGGTTTCATGGTGATTCCGTCACCAACCATTTTCTGGCCAGGCCAAAAAATCGGACCGAGTGCTGATTGGCCAGACCACACTGCCGGTCAACAGGTTGACAAACATGCACCCCGCACATTTCTGCAAGATTTGACGACGGAAAAATGCACATGTGCAGCAAACCTCGACGTACTCGCAATGGGCTGATTCAAATGACAATGGCTGGCCGCACAGCCACCTCATCTGCTTACCTGCAGACTACAGGCTAGCAGTTGCCAGGCCAGGCTACAGGATTGCCCAAATGGCGCTAGCATGCGGCTGGGCATCTCGTACCAGAGGAGCCTTTTTAGTGGTTACAGTGCAGCGGCCCGTTGTACGTGTAACGTAGGTAGTTGACTGTGGGGGCATTGACGTGTGTCGTATTTCAGACTTGTCAGACTTGTTTGAGGGGACTGCTTAAGAGGCTAACACGACGACCACGGTCATTGGTTGCTTCATCCTGTCACTGTAGCGCAGGCTGAGAATCCTGTCAAACTAAACTGCAAAAGGCCCCCCCAACGGTGGCTGTGACGTCTCGGACGTTGGTGCTGGGAAGAATGAAGAAGAAAAAAAAAAAAATTTAAGGGTAAAAATAGCTCCAAATACGACAGCCGGGCCCACTGCGGTGACAACTTACAGTATTAGGTTGCTAGGGTCATTATTGATCACCCGGCTGCGTATCCGCCGCAAACAGGCTGTCAAGCTAGCCTCTTCAATTTATCGACTTGGAGCCAAGCAAAAGGTAGTAACTAAAATTTCCGTAAGAATTGGGAATACGGATACACATGAGCCCAGAAAGGCTACGATTCCATTCGCCCCATAGCCAGCCTCGCCAACCGCTGACGACGTCAGCTCTTTCTCCTCGGCCTCCCAAATACGAAACAAGCAGGTCATGACCACCCCACGACTCAAATAAAAACCCACTGCCTGCGCCCCTTGTTCAGTCTCTGTTCTTTCATATTCTTGGTTCTGCTTTCTGCTACTTCTCACAGTGCGTCCCTTTCGCCTACCTAGTCTCGGGTGCTAGCTTCTGTTCTCGAGAGCCTACGTCAGAGACTACCTAATATTCCAAGCACCATCCTCTCGTTACGCCGTCCTACATGCATCAGATCAGTCAAGACATTTAGCCACCACTCACGACATTCGCTCTTCATATTTCCTCGCCGACTTTATTTCTTCTTTGCGTTTGCCGGTAGTTTGTTTAGACTCTATATTACCGGCCTAATCATTGCTTTTCGGTTAATCCGTCGCCTGCATTCATAACGCCTGACTTGCAAACGAGCACCTTGTATTCGACAGCTCTCTCTACCCCCACGGCAAACAAGGAGATATATCTTTACAAATACATATCTCCGCAATCATGCGCTCTTTGACGAGTGCTGCCACGGTACTGGCCCTCGCCGCCGGCGCTGCCGCGAAGCTTCAGTATCTCGGCGTCGCCTTGTCCGGCATCGACTTTGGCTGCGACATTGACGGCAGCTGCCCCCTCGATAAGATCGGCCTGCCCCTCAAAAACTATGGCGGTGCCGACGGCAAGGCCCAGATGGAGCATTTCGTCAAAAATGACAAGCTCAACATTTTCCGGCTGCCCGTGTCCTGGCAGTTCCTCACCAACGCCAAGGGCGGTAGCACCCTCGACAAGCAAGGCTGGGAGAGCTACGACACGCTCATGCAGACGTGCCTCGACACCGGCGCCTACTGCATGATTGACCTGCACAATTTCGCCCGCTTCGACAAGGGTATCATTGGCCAGGGCGGTCCTTCCGACGCCACGTTTGCGCAGCTTTGGGCCAACATTGCCAGTAAATATGCCGACAATGACAAGGTCGTCTTTGGCATCATGAATGAGCCGCACGACCTCGACACAGCCAAATGGGCCGACACCTGCCAGGCCGCCGTCACAGCCATCCGCAAGGCCGGCGCCAAGACGCAGATTATCCTGCTCCCCGGCAACAACTTTTCCAGTGCCGCCGATTTCGTCGACAACAAGAGCGCCGAGCTCCTCAGCAAAATCACCAACCCGGACGGCTCAATCGACGGCCTGCTGCTCGACCTGCACAAGTACCTCGACATCAACAATTCCGGCCAGCACGCCGAGTGCACCACGGACAACGTCGAGGGCTTTGGCACCATTGCCAAGTGGCTCCGCGCCAATAACCGCACCGCCATGGTCTCGGAGACGGGCGCCTCAATGGAGGACTCGTGCATGGAAAAGTTTTGCGCCCAGAACAAGTTTATCAGCGAAAACACCGACGTTTTTGTCGGCTTCGTCGGCTGGAGCGCCGGCAGCCTCGACCACACTTACGTCATGTCGCTGACGCCAACCGGGTCCCCCGGCGCCTATACCGACAACAAGCTCATGAAGCAGTGCATCCTCGACATCTTTGACGGCAAGCTTAGCCCGCCGCCGTCTTCAAGCTCCGCGACCCGTCCGTCCAAGTCGTCCACGTCGGCTGCTCAATCGTCGCAGAAGACGAGCGACTCGGTCTTTATCGAGAGCCCCAGCTCCAAGCCGTCGCAAACGCCCGCCAATGACGCCCCTGCCCGAGGCGCCGCGGCGAGCTCGTCAAGCATCAGCATCTTGGCCGTCGTTGGTGCCGCGGCCTTTGTCTGTGCAGCTTTGTAACATTGTGGAAACGGCAGCACGGCGTCTGCTTTATGCACTCACCCTTGGACATGTTGTATATTTTGCGCACATGCTTTTGTTCTTGTACTTGCTGCATTTGCATCATGTGGACTGGCGTTTCGGGTTGCTTTTACATTCATGGACGAGCTAGTTGGGCGGCGAGATCCTTGGACGATCAGAGGGTTACAAATGAAGATGGTCATTCGAGCGCATAGACATTAGATATTAAACAGACATGTACATATTATTTCTTGCCGCGAGCGTGTATATTGATTCATGACAAGGTATTCACATGGAAACTTGGCTGTTCAGTCCAGTTCGCGCGACACGCAAAAAGTCGCGAGAGCCCCTCGACCCACTGCGGAAAAGTAGTACAGTTTGGACAGTGGAGTTTCAGATTTACAGATCCCTACGTAATAAACGAAAGAGGGGACACAATATCGGTAAGTTCCTCCATGTCGTGGATCTCATCTTGTCCCCATTGTCTTCATGCACTCGACTGGAGAAGAAGAAACAATAAAGGAAAGAAGGGAGAGGGAAACAAGGGATTTTTGCACAATGCAGATGAAAATTACGAAGCCAGTATGCCATGTGCCATTAACGGTCGTGGAGCTTTTCTTTCTTAGTTGCCTGCTTGCTTCTAAGTCGGCAAGGCAGAGCCGGTGTAAGCCGAGCCGGTGCAAGTGAGTCGAGGCGAAAACGCCAACGCTTGCGCCGTGAGATTGGAGTTGACAGTAAGCTTTCGGCCAACTTGAAAAAAAAAGAGATGTACGAGCATCTCTGTACTTTCTTCAAAAGAATATAATTGGCGTTGACAAATGAACCTTGAGGGGTAGCATTCCCTGCAGCGAGGGCGAGGTTTGCTCATGCACCTCATACATAATTCGCCGGCATTTGCCGCCTACTTTACCCGCGCTTATTTTTTGTTCATGTAATTTATTTCGATTGGCAAGTGCAACATTGTAAAGGAAACGCAGGTAATTGTGTCAACGCGTATTATGCTAGATAATAATGATATATGAACAAGAATAGAGTTTGACCCATGCAATGACGCAGACACTCGCACCAGGCTTTGTGCTGGCCTTGGAGGGCCAAAAAAAAAAAAAAAACAAGTCCCAAAACGCCAATCCCAGAACGCCAATCCCAAAAAGAAAAATAACATAATTCGTCCATCTTTTCGTATCAAAGTGCCCTACTGGGACCAAGACTCATAGACGCCGACATAGTCAACATCCATGGCAGCCCCCAGTCCACCAACAGTCTTCTCCGTGGGCGTGTGGAAGTTGGCCTTGGCATTGGCGAAGCTTCCACCCACAGCAACATTGAGAAGAAGAAACTTTTTAGTGTCGACGAGCTGGCTCCAGGTCTCGTCGCTGCCAAGGTCAGACTTCTTGAGAACAAAGAGCGGCTTGTCATTGACAAACCACGTCATTCGCTCCTCGGGACCCGACCACGCATCCGTCCAGCCAGTGCCAGGACGACGATCCAGCTCCCATGAAAAGATATTCCAGTCGTCACGGTTGTAAATGCTGCTGTCCGCCTCGTTGAAGCGCCCCATGGGCTCGTTGCATGGCCCGCCGCTGGTACTTGAGCCACAGTGCAGCGTTTGCCAGACGCGGGCCTGGCCGTGTGCGCTCTCAAAAAAGTCAATCTCGCCGACCGCCGGCCAGTTGTTGTAGTTGCCGCGAAGCGTGCTGCCGAGGGACCAAAACGCGGGCCAGATACCCCATTGATCGTCGGCGGCGGCCTGTCCTAGCTTGATCTTAGCTTCCACGCGGATCTGCTGGCCGACGGCGGCGCCAAAGTCCCAGTTGGGCTGCGTCTCGATGCGAGCCGACGTCCAGCCGCCCTGGTTGTCGCGGATGGGGATGATGCGCAGCGTCTTTTCCTGGGTGACGTAGATGTTTTCGGGCGAGTCGGTGTAAGACTGGATCTCGCCGGTACCCCAATTGCTTGGTCCGCCGGGATACTGCGTGCCGAGGTCATGCTTCCACTTGGACATGTCGAGGGTGCCGTTGGAGGAGAAGTCGTCGTAGAAGAGGGCACGGGAGAAGCCTGGTGGGAGCGGCACGCCGGCAACGCCGTTGTTAGCGGCGTTGGCATAGACACTGGAGCCTAGAAGCGCGGCCACGATGGCCGTCAAGAAAGGTGCAGGCATAATGGCCCGAGGGTGTCGTTGTAAGTGACCTTGCGTTGGTTGAACGTGATTAGCAGAAAACAGAGGAATGCAGACAGAACCAAAACCGATTTGCGGAACAGCCTTGGAAGAGGCACACTTTATATAACAGACCGGCCAGAATAGATGAAGCGCCCCCTTTACACCTTTACACAAATGATAGCCACCACCACTCGGCTTTTGAGTTTCGTCTCAGGCCATGTGTGCGGAGGGCACAGAGGCAGAATACACCTTGGTGGCGAAGCCCCTTGGTACACTTGGGATGCGCCAATCTACACGATCCCTATCGGTCAAGTGTAGCCCATCGAAGCTAGCAAGTCAAAACTAGCAAATCAAAGCTCACTACATGTGCTTCGGCAGGATCGGTAGCATCAAGTGGAGACATATGCCATCGGATTGATACTGGTACCTGCGTGGAGTCGAAGCAAATGGCTGTACGCACGGTTCGCAGAGGAGAAACTGAGGGCGCCTCAGCCTATTCGAATCCTCCGGTCGACGCCCATTCCAGCAAGATGGGGACGGTCAATCTGAAACACGACTCCAGATTCGACAATATTTTCAGCTTTCCGTCCGCTCGTGGCCGCGAACAGTAGCGATCCGTAAGACTCAAGTATGCAGCGTGTTTGAAACGAATCCATCGACTGGTCAATAGTGTTTCGATTCGTTTTGTTCTCTAACAGTCGACCCCTTGGTGCTCATAGCTTCGTTTGTTCCTTTTTGACAGAGTCAGGACTGAGCAACAGTAAGGTTTTGTGGTTTGCAATGGTGGCCGCTTTAGGCCAGAGTCTAGATTGCGCCGCCATCGCGAGAAAAATTACGTACTGTAGGTCACTGTGTGGTACTTGCAAAAGGCCGGTTGATGTCAACGGAAGCCACGAGGGGGGCCATCTTGCAACCATTGACAGTGGTTTGATTCTGTGTGTGCAAGACTAGCTTCTCGTGCAGGTGCAAGCTCAGGTGCTCAGGTGCTGAAGAATACGAAGCGAGACGTTGACGGTGACAGGCCGTTGCAGGCGATGCGCACAGATGACTATTTGATGCCAATAGTGCCATGGTCACAGCGGGTCACCACCAATGGATCAAACGTGACGGTGCCTGCAGGAATGTCTTGTAGCGAAGGGTTGCAGCGGAGGGGTGTGGCTTCTCACAGCCGAACAGAGGGCTTTAGATTGCGGCAAGGCATCAGTTTTAGCGTCCTCGGGGAAAAAAGCCATGTCAAAATGCGTAACCATATCAAATCATCACGTAACTATTCAACTATATTCTAATAAGCGTAGGCGTATTCTTTTAGTCAACGGCAAGAGACGTGACCGTAAAGACGAACCCAACAGTCTTGGTCAAATATTTAAAGATTTTGACTTTGCAGTAGAATCTGATGCGTGGCGCCTGTAGCAATTCTACAAGACCTTCACCGGGCGAAAGAAAAATCCGTATCCGCACAAGTGACTGTGATGCATCCTTTCGAAGCAAAGTTCACTACATCGTTACTACGTCTGAACATCTAGTTCCTTCGACTTCGTCCGTTCAACCACAGCTATCTACTCATCCCCGACCAATCGCACCCTCTTTAAAAAGGAATACTTCCATTCACAATACGAGCGGGTACATGCCATCCGCCCAGTATGCCTCCCAGAGAGACACATCCAGTCGTCCAGGCAGTCGCCCAAGCTATAACGCCACCTCAGAGAGCCGAAACCACTCACCATATTGGAATTATCGTGGATTACAACCAGAGGCCATTTTCTATCACGTGGCAACGCGGAAACCAATATCCTAATCTGGATGCATTCCCAACATTTACCGATGCCACTGTTAACCCTATTAGCCAGACCGCTAGCATGAGAGAACTCTGGACGCAATCTGTGACATTTGGCTACGGCTCGTGTGGATCTGTCCGTATACAAGACAACGTTTGTTTTCCCATTATAAAGTTAGCACACTCAAATACAGGGTTCATGCAGATGATCCAGCATGAATTCGCTCTGCTTACTAGCATGGCACTCCTTGACTCATCCTTACCCGTTGTCCAAGTCGATCAACAGCCCATTTTAGAAAACGGCGAGATCTGCGGTTTTCGAATGAAACGACTATCCGAAATGTGCCGCTCGTCTCTAATATCACGAAAGTCCGATATCCAAGATGCACTCCAAAGACTTCATTCTGCAGGCTTCTGTCACGGTGACATTAAGGGGAATAACATCATGGAGGACGAAGCTGGACGGATCATATTTATCGACTTTGGCTTAGGTGGCCGGATTGGCAGCGATGCTCCAGAATTTTTTCCTCGCCGAGTACCCAGACACTTTACTGCTGAACATGATTGGGACCTCTTTGACAAAGAGTTCCTGTAGATCAGTCAGGTGCCTGAGACTTTCCTGCGATGGTAGTACAACCCATGGTAATGGCAGCAACACACATCTTGATGTACAATCTCATTGGGAGTTTTCCAACCCAATTGCAGCCAGACCGAGCCCTGCGAGTCTCCCAGCAGATTTGAGTCTGTTTCGCCTTTATTAACACACTGTAGGCCTACGCGCGCGCGCGGAAGAGGGGTTGTCCTTTGACACGGCCAAAATACGCTGTCTCGAAAGAATGTCTCCTTGCCGTCTAGAAAGGCTGTCAGGGCATCTGACACGTGTAGGAGCTAACATGGAATTATTCTGATATGTGCGAGTGCCTTGACAGCCTTACTAGACAGCGAGGAAACATTGTGCGCCAGTGCCATGTCAGAAAACAACCCTCTCCCGTGTAGGGAACCACGAACCACGGAACTTAGCTGTGACACGGTAATGCAGGTACCAAAAGACCCTGACCGACGCTAACCCGGTTTGATCAAACCTATCTAAATAAGTGCGCAAACTGGAGCCGCCCTAATAAGTGTCAAACTCGTCTCACGAGGCGCCCAACTCCTCCGTTCCTGTGTCTCGCGAGGCGCCCGACGCTTGACAATGCAAACTCTCCGCCCTCATTGACGCTTCTGAATGCCCAACAGTGTCGAATAAAAGCCGCCGCAGCGGCACTACCAGTCATTACTTTGTTTGCTCTTTTACAATGCCTATCTGCCCACACACTCCTTTCGCAAAGCTCACACTCCTTTTGCAAAGCTCACACTCACTCAGCGCCCGCACTGCACCGCTTAAACAAAACCCCTAACCCCACGATGCCCTCAAACACCGCCTCTCTCGCGACCACGGCCCTCCTCGTCCACGCCGTCGCCGCCGCCGTCGCCGGCACACAAGTCTGGGCGACGCCCCACGACAGCTACTCTTCCTCGATTGGCGTACTGGGCTGCAAGATCAACACGGACCGCGTCGCCTACTGGCCCGACACCGTCACCTGCGACAACATTTGCGTGTCGCTGAGCAAAGACGACCGCCAGCTCTACCTGCTGCGAATAGACCAGTCGGGCGGCGCGCACGACATTAGCTACGATGCCTGGAACTACCTCGTCACCGGCCAGTCCGCGACGGAGAAACCCACCGCCGGCGGTGCCATCGAGATGACGGCGCAGGCCGCCGATCCGGGCCAGTGCCGCAACCTCATTCGGACAGAGGGTGGCAGGCTGCCTCTCAGCGCCGCCAACAGCATGAACTACCTGGCGGCATGTCTGGGGGAATCGGGCAGCTGGGTCGGCAGCAATTTTGAGCTGTACAATGTGCTCGATCCCCTCTGCACCATGGGCCACGATGAGCAGTGCAAGCTCGATTGGCCCACGCAGAACCAGGCAGACTGCCCGCACCAGCTTGGCATGCCCAACGCACTCACGGGTGCTCCGGTATACAATATTCGCTATCCTAGTGGTGAAAAGGTGCTCGCGGGTGCGCCGGCGGCTCCCAACGCCCGTGACGAGGAGAACGCGGCCACGACGACATCAATCGCACGCTCTTTACCGGTTCTGGCTGGAGGCGCAGTTTTGCTAGCGATGCAGTAGCTGGCTCTTATTTCCCTTTGATTGCCACACTTCCTTTGGATATGCTGCAATCTTGCCAGTCAATGCAACGCAGCTATATATATACGCCATCTAGATACCCTGTTATATACACCAATACCTATATGATTTTAACACCACTTATCATTACCCAACACAAGCGACAACTTTGCTCCCATTCGTCAACTTTCCACGTGGAAAAATTGAATACCTATGTAAGGTATGTAGTCATAATAATTAGTAGACCCAATCGTGCCTCCACAAGACAACCAGGTTGAGGGCCAACAGGGCCTTGATGCTGCCTAGTTGGACTAGCGCCAAGCACTGCCCAGTGCCCACCGACATCCTCTGCCAACATTGGACGCGCATAATTAGACTCGTTCCAGTTGTCCCCAAGATGTCTCTCCCCTCTGTTTCGGGGCGTGGTATGATTCACGACATTCTACCACGCACACCATACACTACGCACCGAGGAGAGCGAGAATCAAAAGACGTCATTATTCTTCAGTTGATCGTTTTTGAGACCCTCACCCGCTAATTAGCGGCAACCGTTCTCCCCACCGTCTTCCAGCCTCGCTCATCCACGGTGGACCGTCCGTGCAGCGGGTCGCATTGCCCGCTCTGTTTCCATCCTACTCGTCGCGCGAATTGGCCATTTTTTTGCTTCCCTCTCCCTCGTCAATTCACCATCGCCAATTTGACGTACCCTTTCGACCCTGTCTCCTGCCGCGGAGGCACGGCCAGTCCGCGTGCGCGACGATGCCTATTCCGACAGATGCTACCGTCACGGCCTCGACGAAGGTCTGGTCGGCGACGACGACGGCGACAATCGCTTCCCCTGGGGGCGATGCGACCACCGATTTCGTGGTGCCGATGACGACGCCATTTTCGATGCCGCCAGGCTGCCTCGACTTTGACGGCGCTGCCATGTACACACAATTGCAACATTACGATTCAAGCGATCAGAACGTGACCCATCTGACGCGGAATTTCTACGAGATGGACACTCAGTCGTGCTGGCCCTCGGGCGTGTACAATGCCACCTACAGCCCGGCCGTCTGCCCGAGCGGCTGGACGTATTATAGCATTATGCCTGGCGACTACGACGAGCCGGTCACGGTTACGGAATCGCCTTCAGACGCTTCTACGGCTTATGCGACGACGTCGTACACAAATCAGATCTCTGCCGTCTGCTGTCCCAGGTGAGTACGGCGATGCGGTCCGCTACGGTATTGAAGCCAACATGTACTAATATACACGCATCAGCGGCTTCGAACTGTCCGTCTTAACATGGTCCACGGACACCAATATCGACCATGTCTGTTCCCGCACCGTCACCTCCGGCGAGCTCTCCATCATAGTCACCAATCAACCCGACGGTAGTCCTACGCTCTTCCAAGGCTCGGCCACCCTAATGATACCCACGCCAATGACCGTCTCCTGGAACGCGGAGGACGCCTCGACCCTAACACCCCAGCCGCCCGACATCCCCGTATACTCCTTTGCCCCTTCGTGGGTGCCGGGCCAGTCCGTGACCGTCTACGACAAGGTTCGGTACGACGACTCGCCCCGCAACAACCGCCTCGCGACGGGCGTTTTTGCCGCCGTCATTGCGGTGCCCATTGTGCTCTTCCTCGCCATCCTGGGCTGCTGCATCTGCTGCTTCCGCATACGCCGCCGGCGCGAGAAGCGCGAAATTGCAAAGGAGCAAGAGGAGTCGCAGGCGTTGGCCACGGAGCGCACGTCTACGCAGGAGCGCACGCCGAATCACTCTACAGATGGCGAAGCAGACACGGCGGAAGAAGAGGGCCCGGCAAGCGAGACGGTAGCGGCCGTCGCGGCAAGCCCCTCGGTCAACGCTCGTCAAGTGAGCGCTGATGTACAACGGCCTGCTGCTCAGGACCCTGCGGGAGGAAACACGAACGTGCACCCCTTGTCTGACATCTCAAAGCCCCCGTATCCAGGGCTGCCCTCGCAGGGATTCGATGGAATTGAAGAACCGCCGCCGTATGTCGAGGCTGCCCCAAGCTATCCGCTGCAGAGCAGCTCAGCAACAGCAGCACCGACCTCACCGACCCAAGATGGCACGACGCGCGACGAAACCATCAACAGACTAGCGACATGATATGATTTGCGACAAGACATATATCATTCATACATATTCATAGCAGTCACGCAACCAACGCATGGCTCACTGTAAATAGACAATCTGTACATACCGCCCCAATACCAAGTCCCGTCATTACTACTCGAAAATTATCAAGTCTCATTCTCCAAGAAATCTTTAAGCTTGTCGTCGAGCCACTTGACATCCTCGGGGTTTGAGCCTGGACCGCCGGCCCTATACAAGTCAGCAACGCAAATCCTCTCGCATCAGTCACAATTCATGGACAAGTTACCAGTGTCCCCAGATGGAGGGAAACGGGATACACTTTCCCCGACCCTCGCTCATGCACTTGACCTCGTCCTCGGAGTCTTCAGGCGGAAAGTACAGGTCCGTCTTGCCGGGGAGGACCAGCGTCTTGGCCTTGATGCCGGCCATGGCCTTTTCCAAGTCCTTGTCATACGGCGGCTGGTCGGAGCAGTCGGCCGCCTGCCAGGTATGCAGCATGTGCAGCATATTCTCCGGGTCTGAGCAAGACCCAAAAAAAAAAAAAAGCAACGTTAGCGAACAAACCACACCACATTTGACGAATTCGCGCCGGGGCAAAGTCGGACAAGATACCTTTGGAGAGCGCCCAGGCCTCCCAGAAATTCATCATAAAGTCCTCCAGGTCCTTGAACCCCAGCTTCGTCTCGTACAGCTGCTCCCGGTAAAACTGCTGGCTGAAGCCCCAGCCCGCATACACCCTCCCAAAGGCCTTGAGCCCTGCCACGCGCTCCTCGTCAGTCCACAGCGTATAACTTCCCACCTCGCCGCGCGCGCTCCCCGCGCTCGCAGCCCTCTTGGCTGCCAACAGCGCGCTCTTGACGCCCTCTAGGAACACCTGGTTATGAATCGAAGTGCGGGCGCTGCCGCAAAACGGCACACCGAGATCCATGAAATCCGGATACTGCGTCAGCCACTGGTACGTCTGCCCCGCGCCCATGCTCCAGCCCAGCACGGCGCGGGCGTGCGTGACGCCGAGGCCCTCGGTCACGAGACGGTGCTGCGCGGTGACGTTGTCCTTGACGGTGACGTCGGGGAACTTGGCGCCAGCGCGGCGTTCGCGCGTGTTGGAGGGGCTGACGGACTGCCCATTGCCGATGAGAGCCGGGATGATGATGAAGTACCGGGCCGGGTCGAGGGCCTTGCCCGGGCCGACGAGCCACTCGTTGTCGGAAATGGATCCGGAGAACCAGCTCGGGTAGATGATGGCGGGATTGGACCGCGCGCCAAAGGTCTTGTAGGCGATAAATGCGGAGGGGAGTACGGCGCCGGAGGAGAGGCGAAAGTCGCCTAGGTCAAAGGTGCTGTAGTCGTCGTTGGAGGTGGCCATGGTGGTGTTGAGGTTGGTTTGCCTGGGTTAGGTGGGATCTGACAATTGACTAGAGGAAGATTGGGGGGGGGAGAAAGGAGGACGAAATAGATGGTTTGATGGACACTTGAAGACAGCGCTGGCCGAGTAACCTGACTTTTTTTACCTAATGAGTATTATTTTGTATACACTGGTCGACCCCTCAATCGCAGGTCGCAACGGCCAAGATGCGGGGAAGCGGGCAAGTGGGCGATGACAAAAAGACGCCGCTCTAGTTTCCAACCATGCATGCTTTTACTTTATTGCTCTAATCATCCTCCTGTTCAAATTGACTGTTTCGACTTTCAAAAAAAAATTGTTCGTGTAATTCTCAATCAGTTTCATACTCCGGGTTGACCTCTTTGGTTTTACTGGTATAACCCCAACTTTCTTGGCGAGTCGCCCTCGAGCATCACCCACACCCACACACGACATATCCCGGATCTGAGCCCGACATCCCGGGGGGTGGTGGACATACCAAACCAAGCAGCAAAAAGTTTCACGAGGCAATACAACAACTTGCTTGAATTAGTTATGCAGCGGCGGCGCTGCCCCTTTTTCCATATTATCCCATTCAAACTACCCCCAATTGTCTAAGCGTGAGATTATCTCGGCAAATATGAACCCAAAAAAGTGCCTTGCATCCAGGTACTTTCTTTTTTTCCCTCACCAACATTCCTGTCCCCCCAAATCCATGTCCTTTTTCCCTCCGTCATCAAGCAATGCCCGTCTCGCCGATAATATACCATCCACAGTCCTTGAACTGGACATTCCATCTTGTCCGTTCTACTTTTGTATCTTCTCGTCCGTCGTCATTGTAAAATAAATTAGGCTATGCACAAAAAAAAACCCCTAGTTGGCCCAGATCCTGACAATCTGATCGACGCCACCAGTCGCAATAACGCAGCGAATCTGCGCATTGTCTCCCTCGAGCTTCTTCACAGCGCCGCCGTCCGCACCGTCGCCATGCCCGGCTGAGCCTCCATTCGTAGCAGGTGCATCCTTGACGATGCCGGGCGCCCACCGCAGGCATTTGACAAAGTGCCCGTGCGCGTCTGACAGCGTTTTGACGCACTTGGCTTCTTGCGCGAGGTCCCAGCAGCGTATTGACTTGTCGTCGGCTGCCGACAGTAGATATTTGCCGCTTGGGTGGAATACGAGTGCATTGATCCAGTTGTCGTGCCCGATGAGCACTTTCAGACACGTCCCCCGTGAATCCCACAGCCGGATGGTCTTATCACGGGAGCCCGTCGCGACAAACTCGGCGGGGCTGCTCAGCGGCGGGGGCTTCTTGAGCCCGGCTATCGAGGCCAAGTGCTGATAGGCAGATGGTGGCGCGAAAGCGCAGCATTGCACAACGTGTTCGTGGCCAATGAGGGTGGCTTTCGTTTCTGGGTTTGGAAGCGTGAGGTCCCATAATCTTCCCATATGATCTGCACTTGTAGATATCAGGTAGTTGCCATCCGGCGAGGGACAGACGTCTCTGACCCAATCAGCGTGTCCTGATAACGTTTTGACGCAGTAACCTGTCGTTGTGTCCCAAATCTTCAGTGTTTTGTCACCGCTGGCGCTCACAAGCATGTTCCCAGAAGAAAACACGCCAGCTGATCCAGATAGTATAAACCGTACTGCACTGACACTATGATCGTGGCCGGATAGTGTTCGAATATTTTTATAGCCGTCTGCAGGGTCCCAAAGTTTAATCGTCAAGTCGGAACTGCAAGAGGCCAGCAAGGTAGCTGTCTTCGGGCCACCATAGTCGAGGTCTAGTACCGCTCTGGTGTGGCCTTTGATGGTTTGCTCAGCTTCACCAAGCTCCCAGTCCCAGATCTTAATTGTGCAGTCGTCTGATCCCGACGCGAGCGATGTGAATTTGGGGTGGAAAGCCACGCAATTGACGGGGTCACGGTGACCCTCCATGCTATGTCGTGCTGGGGCTCGTGGCAACCAGGATGCGGGATCGGTATTTCGTTTTGAAATGGATGTCGGCGTAGCATTGTCGAGTTCGGTCTGTAGTTGTGCGTTTCTCGTCTCGAGCTCCATAATCTTGGCCTTGTCAGCATTCGACACTCGGAGACATGCATTCTGTCGCGAGCTTGCCTACCCTTTTTTGTAACCGCACGATGCTCGTCCACTTCTTCTCCAGCAGTGACTCGTACTTTTTGGCCGTGGCCGCATCGTATATATCCTCGCCGAGCGACAGCTCCTCGCGGAGGGCCGCTGCGCTGCTTTGTAGGCCGTTGGCCGAGAGGTAGGCTATTATGGACTTGTGTCTGTACGCGCGACATTGTTAGTTAGCAAAGCTGGGGCCCCATTCAGATCCGATCGGGGGCATCTGGTTATGCACAAACAGTTCTTCGGCTTGCCGCGCAGGCAAGGTGCGACTCATTGTGGCGGTGTGCTAGCAGCAGCCCTCTGGCGAGGTGGTGGTATCGGTCGCGGCACTAAGGGGGGGGGGACTGTTTCTATCGTGAGAGCGCGGGTTCTGCCAGAGGTCACCCCGCGAGGCAATTCGCTCCTGAATTCGCGTGCTCCCCTCGTTCTGTGATGCCGGGTGTCGTGTGAAGCGGTCAAGGAGGGGCTGCCCGCGCGGAGTGGAGGTGGAGGGGACGGGAGCAAGGGAGGATGGTAGGTAATTAACTAGTGTTGGAGATTGAGACGTAGTGCGCTTCGGAAGCTGGCTGGCGATGGCGTCGAGAGGCTGCTGTTGGATATGCAAAGAGGTTTGTGGGATAGAATGGGCTTTTGTTGAAGAAAGAGAAATATTACAGGCGGTCCGGGCAAAGAGATGGATGGTTTGTTGTCTCCGTGTCCTCTACTGAATACCTATAACTAAGGTAAAGCATCGCCGCCAACAATTCAGTGGCCGCCTGGTCAACCAAGTCCCCCATCAAATGCGCCACTAAAGTCTTGCCGGCCCCACATGTAAATATCCGTTTACGTACATATACAAAACTGGAGGAGTGCTTCATCATCATCAGCCGTTGCATTACCATGCACGCTTGCTATCGCCTGTTACAGAGCGCATCGCGCTACGGACTGTAGCAGACAAAAGATTACATATCTTTTCTACCTACGCTCGGGTATATCCGTATCCTGCACTACTCGGGGGCCGTCAAAGCCGGGCATCTCGCTACTGTCTGGGCTGAGCAGCGACACCTCGTCCGCATTTCCGTGGCCTGCTTCAATTTCCTCCTCTGGCACCGCGACCAACATGTGGTCACTCGCCCAGCTCGTCGTCCGCGGTCTTGCCGGCCCACGCTGCAACGCCTTGACCTGACTCGTAGCGATGGACGGGCTGAGCAACGGCGAGAGGGCTTTTGGTGAACTGTCTGGTGGCGAATATCTCTGAGGGTTGCGCGCGGCGTCCCCAACGCCGGCTAATGTCTCGCGCGGCGCGTTGAACGAGTTGCGCTTCGCCCTGTACTCGTCGTACTGAGTGTCTCGCTGGTGATGGTACGGCGTGGTGTCCAGCACATCCATGCTGACAGACTCATTCACCGATCTGGTGCTCAATCTGACTGATCTCAGCGAATTGCGTTTGTTTGCGGGGAGATGTGATATGTTGCTCGGAGTTGACAAGTCGTTGAAGCCGTAACCCTTGACGTTGGCCGGATGTGCATAGTCATCGTACGCGGCAAGGCGGCGGTAGGCGAGGAAAGCGTATATGGTCATGGCACCAGTCAAAAGACTATTTCATGCAGTGTTAGCATGTAACTTCAGCCATGCCAGAGCCACCCGTTTGAAACGCGCAACTTACATGAGAAGACTATCCAGACCGATGCCGATGAGGGAGTACTTTTCCTCGCTCAGCGTTATATACACGGCAACATCGAGCGCGAGAATGGCAAAAGCGCATGTAGCCTTGATGACGTGCGTAAATAGCATTGTCCACGGCGTCAGCGACTCGGTGTAGTATCGTGCAATGTCAACAAATGTGCACAAAGAGGCGACCAACGACATGGCGATATTCGTAGCCTCCCACCTTTGCCCTCGTCAGCGTTCCCGTTATAGCATGCGCATGGATCCGCCCTGTACGTACGCATATTCTATCGTCGGCTTCTTTCCTGCTTTGACCTTGTCATCGTGGTGTTGCATTGTGTTTCCGAATCGCCATGCGAATAGACCCATCATGGCCATTGTCAAGAGAAGCTGAGAAGCCCATATCGGGGCAAGAAGCTTGATCCGCCATTGGGCTCGCGCAAACTGCGCCTGAGATTTGTGAAGAGCCATGCGGCCGGCCTGTAATTCGAGACCTTGACCAGCCTCTTGTATGCCAAAAGCATGCAAAATATTGAAATAAGACAGTCAAGTCATGGACAGAGAATAGCATGGGCGACCCCCGCGCTGATGTACGCTGACCTGGCGAACCAAACGCCTTTTATCGAAAAATCAGCCGTGGCCGCAGGGTCGGTCACCGTCTCCGGAACAGTCCATACAAGACGCACGAAAAAAGCTATTTGGCACCCAATACTACAGCTATTCCACGCGGAGCCACATGGCAGCCTTACAACGCTTTCTTGACGACCCCGATGCACCCCGACATGGCTGCTGGTGAGCCCTGAGGCTTAGCAGCCATGGGAGGTGGAGGGGTCAAAAAGAGCTGCAAGCGACGGCCCTTTTGGGGCTGAGCAGCTTGGGATGGTGCACACTAACGAGACGCCATGGCAGATTCGAGTCCTTGGGGACCCATGTGTGAACATATCACATGGTATACGTGATGCGATGGCAAGATCATCTTTGGCCTCAAGCTTGTATCTGTGGGTTGGAACCTACAACCTCTATTTTGCCGCACCCAGGCCGCGTGAGGACATTGTAATTGTTGGACAGCAAGGTACAAATGCAATAGTTACAGCATCTTTCTTTGAATGAAATGCGATACCAACGGGTCAACACAGCGGTCTCTTTGTGGCATTTCAGCGACCCGCCGAGGCTGACTGCCATGCGCCCAAGTGGGTGTCAAAATACACGGCTGGCTCTCTCACAGCACACACTATTTATATATTAAAGTTAAAAAGGCGGCCACGTTCTCAATAGTTACACTCTTTTCAAAAATTAACAGGCAGCCATTATTCCGGTATCCGCTTGGCTCCTCCCAGGCAACAAGAATAAGCGCGCACAAGCTGTGACCGCTGTTTCTACCTGTCAGTGGCCAGGGCTAATATATTTAGCATCCACTCCGTAGAATGACGCCTTTACCGCGTCCCTAAATTTAGCGTCCCGCTAGCAACTAACATCTTTTGGGGCCCTGCCGCCAACGTGGTAAATGGGGTTCTTGGGCAGCCTTGTAGCCGACTGCGCGGGTCTAAAATCAATCTTAATCAACGTCAAGGGCATGCTGATGGGGTTATGGATCGACAGCATGTAGTAAGTTTATCCACCATTCTGCATGTCCAAGTATACTATTTGGGGGGACATTGAGGGTGAGATATGCCGCCGTTGGCCAAATCGAGGACCCTGGTCGGCTCTTGGCTTCGGTACCGAGGCAGGTGTGCGCAGCTATAATTGTATACATGGGGCCATTTTTTTCTAAAGTGAACTGCGGCTCTGTTTCTTATATTATCGCACCTTTTTTTTTCTTCTTTTCGAAAAATGCAATGACAGTAAGCGGTATGTGCAGCCCTGGTGAATTTCACGCGATGCAGGCCCCCGTTTCATTTTTTTTTTGCGTGGAACTGCCGAGTCAATAGCTGCAATGTGTACGGCTGTCGCTCATAGCCAGCGTACCTGGGGAAGCCAATGCAAAGACCAAAGTAGAACTAGAAAAAAGAGGCAAGTGGTAGCCGCTTCGATGATGTTGTCGCAGTAAAAAGAAAAAAAAATTGTAAATATTTGTGCAGACTGCGAAATGTGTTTGCTTCACCAGGTGCAGGGTATACAAGCGTGTAAGGCAGTTTAAACGCAACACCAACCGCTGCTGCGGCTGTAAATTGTAAACTCTTGACAGAAAAGGCAAGCGGGTTGTGTATCGGTCAACATTATTAGAAATATACCTGTCTGGCAAGCAATTTGTGAATTTTAATACAGTAATTGTACATCTCTGAGCATCCGATAAAGACCATGCTTAAGAGAAGTGAACGCACACAGCAAAGTATAAATTATATTAGTCTATGAGACTGGGAAAGGGAATCCATCCGGCAAATCATATCAGTAAAGGCTATCTGTGCCTCTGCTGCTCAGCAACAAGAGATTCCCTGCTGGTTTCTTTGCCCCATTCTCTTTCGACCATTGACTGCTTAGAGACCGGCGGAGAGGTTGGGCTGGCTGACGGTGTCGGCGTTGAAAGGAACGATGTTGCCCTTGCCGTCGGTCATGGCAGGAGTCTCGACAGTGACTGAGTTCTCGTCGGCTGCCTGGCGGGGAGCTGCCACAAGAGAATAGTTAGCAAAGATTCTTCAGTCCTTCTTTTATATTCTCAGCCCTGCAGCCCCTTGTAGGGACTTCGACTTACCAAGGGGGTTGGCCATGACGGCGGCAACCAAAGCAAAGAGAGTAATGGCAGTGAAGTGCATGTTGAAAGATGTGGGTAGAATAAAAATTATCTGAGAAAAATAGAAAGATTGAGAGAATAGAAGAACGAATGAAGAACGACTTTGTTGATTAAAGAAGAATGAGCCAACAAGATAAATATCTACAGGAACAAGACTTGATTAATATATTCTACAACCGTATACGTCGCGCGATTATGCAGGAGGGCACAGTTCGAGCCATTGTATGCCTTCACGGACCGTATCTGCGGCTCGGAAGCTGGACGAGCCGTCGCCATGTGCCAAGGTTGACAAAAGACCAGGCCAAAACCGGCCGATGTCGAGACCAGACCACGACCGGACTCGAGATGACAAAAAGGGGACCACCCCCCTTCAAAAGCAAGTAGTGAAAGAACTAGGCTGTGTGGGCATCAAGTCTAAAAAAATCCCCAAACCGGCCCTTGTATGTATGCCCGTCAAGTTTCAAGTCCGCCACCCCAAGCGTCATGCGTGGCCTGGGATAGCGAACAAGCTTTCCTGGCTGCGAGATTGGACATGGGGGAAGACTGGGGCTTGGCATCTGCGTTGATGTGTGAGAGGTGTAGATCAGATGGCTTGTACAGCATGATGCCGTTATGGAGGCGTTCGAGGCCCTCGCCCGGTTCAGGCATCTTGCGGTGACAGAAAACCTGAATCAGCCACTGAGGGATGTGAAACGCGGGCTTGCTTCACCTGATGCCTTGGGACCACAAAATGCCCGAGCCCGGGCCCAGAGGTACAGATGAATAGATTTGAAATGATTCGTTTTACGAGGCGGGGGCGGGTGGTTTTGGACGAGGGAGGAATGGTATAAATTGCCTCTCGGGCCGTGCTGCTCCAGGTTTTGTACTTGGTATCATCGGCGTGTTGATCGGCATCTTTGGGACAGGGCCAAGAGGGCGTAGTTGAAAGCGTCTGGTGTGATTGAGACTAAATCTGGGACAAGAATATGAAATGGACTGATCATACATCCTCTTCAACATATTTTATCACTTGCTGCTTGGAACATAGTGGCGGAGTGCACTGCACGACGTATCAGTAAAGCCGTAAGCACAGTGTGCCAAACTGTGCCGACTGTGCTTACAATGCGTAGTAATAGAGCAAGCTTTACTGGCGAGGCACCCACCACCATAAACCTCAGCCAAATCTAGAGCCAATATGCATCTGAATTGCCCACGAAAAAGCAAACAAATCCACAGGTTCACTGCCAAGTGGCCTGCTCGGAGCGAGTTTATAGCTCAACCAGCTATGAGCGGCGATGCATCGCGGGGTTCATGATCAAGGTGGAGCCGACATCTCGTGCAGCCTCTCTGTTCCCCTCTTTCTCCCCCGCAGTGCCTCTCACCTCCCCGGCGTTCTGTTTGCATTCAACCCTCTCTCCAAACAACACGAGTCCGGGGGAAAAGAGAAGCTCAACGACCTTTGCGAATACCGGGCGGTCGAGAGCCTCCATCTTCTTCCCTGTGCTCCCGGATTTCAGCTCTATAGAAAAATCAGAAAAATTCTCTCGCTTTTGCCGCGTCTCTTCTTCGTTTCCCTCCGTGCATCTAAAACGTTTGGGCACCACCTAACAAAGAAAAACAAAAACAAAAGAGGGCCATGGCTACCGTCGAACACTGCCTGATGTGCTTCGAGGCGCTCGACGCCGCACTTAACAAGACCAAGGCCCTGTCTCTAGACGAGCTGCGCGCGTCCTGGGCCGTCTACAACAGCGCAACCGCCCCCGCGTTGGCCTTTTCGCCCAAGGACCCTGCGCTGCAGCGCGTGGCCGCCGACAGCGATTCCGCCTCGGCCTCGTCCTCGTCGACAACCTCCATCGGGGCCTCGACGCCCGCCACGTCCGCCTCCTCCCTCACGCCCGCCCCCGTCACCTCTGCGCCGCTCTTTGTCACTTGGAACACCTTTGACAACGACAACGATGACGACGACGACGAGGCTGACAAGGACGCCGTCTCGCTCCGCGGCTGCATCGGCACTTTTGAGAGCCAGCCGCTCGCGTCCAGCCTAGCCGAGTACGCGCTCATCTCGGCCCTGCAGGACACACGGTTCGCGCCCATTTCCAGACGCGAGCTGCCGTCGCTGCAGGTCGCCGTGACGCTGCTCACCGACTTTGAGGAGGCGGCCGACGCGCACGACTGGGACATTGGCACGCACGGCATCCGCCTCTCTTTCCACGACAAGGGCCGCCGCTACGGCGCCACCTACCTGCCGGACATTGCCGCCGAGCAGGGCTGGACAAAGGACGAGACGCTGTTTAGCCTGGTGCGCAAGGCGGGCTGGACGGGCAGCCGCGGGCGATGGACGGAGCTCGACCTCAAGGTGACGCGGTACCAGGGCAAAAAGCGGTCGCTAAACTACGACGAGTACAGGGCGTGGAAGGATTGGGCGGCGAAGCAGGCATAGACGGGGAATGTCTCGGGGCTTTTTCTTTTCTCGATAGAGGATAGAGCCGCTGATTGTGTGTTTTTTTTTCTTTTTTTTTCTGTTGCATGTCTTTGACCTATTGTTTTGACGTGTTATTTTCAGGCGTTTAGGAGTTGCAAGCACATTGCTGATCAAAATCGTGTCAGCAACACAAATGCATGTTCGGCCGCAGGGGGGGAGAAGAAGCCCCTTCAGGTCAAGCCCGCCAAGCCGGCAGATTTCCATCATTTCAGATTTTTTAGATTCTTGCTCAAGTTGAGCATAATTGATACATTTATGGTTTACTTGATATATAAAAACGCGTGATATAGGTGTGGCGCCGATATATCAAGCGCCACGCCGTTGGGGATGAAATAATCCGGAACAGGGGCTGCGGCTGACGGCACGGCGGTGAAGTGGTGGGTATGAGCCTCTTTTGCTGTCCCTGATTCTAATACTATTCATTATTCAATTCCGCTTGTGAGTCGAAGAACCTTTCCTGCCTCTGTAGTGGTTCGTCGGGCCGTAGCCACCCGCTTTCACGAGCTCTTGGCCGCGCACGTCGCGCACGGCCGCGCCACGGCGTCATTATCCAGTCATTACTTGGCTTATGGATTAGCTATTGCCGCCAGGTGCCGATACGCACGCAGCTCGTCAGTGACGCTTCGTCTTTTGGTAGGTGGTCAGATATTTATGTCTGCATGTTGTGAGTGCTGCCGCTGGTATCGTATTCGGAAAGTTGGTGAGAATCTTCTAATCAGAGCTAGTTTACCATCTAGTCATGTCTCAACCATGTCATCAACGCCGTCAGTCTCGAAGCCCGTCACGGGGGCGGACCCCAGAGGGCACTTCTTTGACCTTGGCAATGCTTGTTTTGCTAAACAGCGGCAACTGGCGTTCCACGGACATGTTATGGAATATCGTTTAGAACCTCCCTTTCCACCGCAAAGCAGTCCACAGTTGTTCAGGCTTTATCACGCCCATCCCACGCCATCAAGTCATTCCCGCCCTTTCCTGAGCCACCCTCATCACTGCCAAGCCTGCCAAGCCTGACGGTCCTAATCCCGGCCAACTCGCCGCATCTACAACGGTCTCATCTCTACAGTTAGCCGCGATGACTTGCCGCTCTAAACCCCCCGCCGTCCGTTACTGATGGGTACATTCTTCGTCCTTGCGTATCAAAACTTGCCAAGAGAGCCGCGGCTACGCGGCTTTAAGCAATGCACAATACAGCGAGAACAGTGGAGAAGCTCGACCTGAACTATTAGAACGGCGCAGTAAAATGGCAGCCACAAGGTAGACGTCCCAGACGAATAGAAATCAAGCTCGCGGGGGTAAGAATGAACCAGTAGCATTAGGCAAGGTCCAAGTGGTTAATGAATCGAAAAGTCAGCATTCGAGTTGGTGGATTTACCGATTGACTAATTGCTTACAACTGGGCCAATGTGACCACATGGCAACAAGGAGAAACCACAATGGTCGATCGATAAAAGCAAATAACAAAGAAAAAAAATGGAAAAAGATCAGCGGCAATTGCGTAGAAAGCAAAGTTTCATTGCCGATGGGATCCAAAAAGGTGCCATCGGCCAAAGGAGCCGAGCCTTACATACAACGCCACCCACCTACCACCAGACTAGCGACGGCGCCGTCTTCTCGTTCAACATGACAGAAGAGTTTGAGTGTGACGCGTAATGCAGGTACAGAAATGGCGGCTAATGGAATCTTGCTCGTTCTTCTCATCATTTTTAAACTTTTCGGCTACTCGAAAAATACAGCGTCATAGCTCTCCACTGCTTCTTGAAAAAGGGCACGCCGATAACAAGCTCCATGTTCCATCCGACGGCAAGCTACCGTTTTTTTAGTTCTTCAACTTACGAATGCTACCTTTGCTAGAACGGTAAGACAGGGAGGATCGGCAACGATGACAAGCTTATATTCACACCCGGCCTCGGGATGTGTCTGAACTTTGCCTGCTGCCAACTGAACTAGTGTGTGCTAGTAGTAGGGGGACTTGCCGCATCTGCGAAAATCTGACTGGAATATTCTTTGTAACGCTTCGTCATTCTACCAATACGACTGGTAATAATTTGGGTCTTAAACTACGGATACTTTGCGAGCTAAACATGGCGGGAACGGTGCACCCGAGCTTCCGAGACTTGTCTCTGATGAATAGGTTCTAAATTATGTAAAAAGGTCGTCTGGGCGTGGGTAGGCAGCTTATATGATTGGCTGTGACTTTTTAAGCAAGTCTATGATTCACTCTTCAGCTTATTACTTGCACTCTCTTGAGTCAATTGTCAGCTTGTGCCGCTGCGCTCTTCTGCATCAATCTTCAGCTGGTCTGCAGTGCTCACTCACATCCTGCACTCATTCAAACCCCGTTTCGCGCTCTTCAATATCCCCCTTCCGCGGTCTTCAGCTCCTGCAGTGGTACTCCTCAGCTCCCTTCAATACCTACTTTCTGCAGCGTTCCAGCGCTCGGATTTGGTGGCTTGGGAAGATCTTGAGGGCCACCTGCCAAGATAGGAAGCTTCTTCGACAGCTCCCCCACACTCGCCGGAACTATGGTTGCAATGTACAACTACCTCACTCTGCACTACCTTGTTCCCGGAGAGACTCTCCATTCATTGAAAGACTTTGATGTTTTAAAGTTTTTCGTTTTCCGTATATAAACCTGCCAAATCACCCAGTCTCTCTGGGCTTTCTTCGCATATCAAACCACTTTCACAAATCATTTTCCTCTTACAAAATGAAGGCATCTTTTCTGGCTCTTGCCGCTGTTGCACCCTCGACCTGCCTGGCTGGCATTGGTCATACCTGGTCCATTTCGACGCCTGCCACAGGTCTCAAGGACATTACCTTTGGGTTTGGCGTCTCCCAGGCCGCCCACAAGCGAGGCTACTACTTTGCCAACCAATTCAAATTCCAGAATATCCAAGAAGTCAGCTACACGGGTGTCCAGCCGCAGACGGACAGCAACGGCAAGGCATACATCCGCGGCGTCTTCTCCTCGTTCCAAAAGGGCACCACCTCGAAGCACCCCAACTGCAGCGACGGCGCCGACGGCGGCGCCGGTGTCAGCTGCGCCGTCACCCTGCAGGTCAAGGACTTTGGGGGCCGGTTCGACTGTGTCATTGAGAATATTGGCGGTACCAAGTGGCGCGGCACCCTGAAGAACAGCGCGACGGGCCAGACGGCAGTCATTGGCGAGTTTACCCAGCCTGCCGGTGCCGGTGGCATCGTCGGCAACCAGGTCGGCTTCCTCGAGTACTTTCTCGCCAACGGAAACCCAAACTTCAAGTGCTCCGACCAGTTCAAGACGCAGGTTGATTACTACTTTCCGACTTCCAAGACAGCGGGCGCCGGCAAAGGCACGATTAACAAGCCTTACCAGTATGGCAGCTGCATTGATAAGCAGGGATTCAGCACCACTGCTGGCCCCAACTACTGGACAGTTCATAGCGGCTTCTAAGAGGCAATAGGGTATCTGCCTTGCAAAATATAGTTTCAGATGTGGTTGGATGAGATGTTGAATACAAAAGGCAGTACCTCGACGCGTGTCAACTCTCACAAGCCCACCATGTTTTGCTTCCTCTCATAAATTCCAGTTGCTTAAAGTGTTTACGTTATATCGAACAGTCGCCTCCGTCAAAAGAGAGGTTGTGGTTATCGTGCGTATCCACAAGTATATGCGCAGCCGTATAAGCGGCTTAACTCCGCGGCCACCCGCTATGAGCACCTATATTCATGATCTCTTATATACATACGAAAACTCCGAAATTAACAACAGTGTAGTAGTTAGTAGAGCTTAATTTATCTAGCTGTTTTCCCGGCGCCGACGTTGTACATAGAAGATTGTGGCGAGGGAGGCGGCAATTGAAGACATCATGGGGGTGAAGCGGTGCAGCGCTGGCAGGGAGAGAGTGTGGTTCTTGCTGGCGTGGCCGCGGCGATATAATCGGTATGTCGAAAATGCTAAAAAAGTCATTTGAACCTTGTATTTATTGCTGTTTAGGTCTACTCTTGTGATTCGGTTTCTCTTTTGATTTAATCTTGTGGTCGTCCAGTCCTGCTAAAGGGTAGGAATAAGTAGTACAGCGCCTTTAGGTAATTCTCAACAGCAATGTAAGGAACTGGTTGTGAATTGCTCCGAACAATCCTTATCAAAACACACCATCACGCTCACCATCATTAGAAAGGTGCCTCTACATCAGACAAGATGACGTTGCTGCGAGTACCTCACTGAACATGGCATGCAGCGATAAAGGGAGGATGGGGAAACCCAAGTCTCGCTACAGGATCTGTCGACTGTATTTGTAGGCGCAATCTTGCATGAGAATTGTAATAAGAGGGACCTGTGATTGCCCTGCTGCATCTTGAATCATGGCACTTACAAAAAAAAGTAATGAGAGGGGGGGCCCCTGTTTTTCAGGTGCGGCGGCCAAATGTTGCTCTGATGGGCCGTGACCTATCGGGCAACCCTTTGCAGGAGATGCGTCAGCCACCTGAGAAAAGACGCATCAGCCACCGGAGAAGAGACGCATCAGCCACCTGAGAAGAAAATAAAAAGACAAATTCTGGGGGATCGGGGCTGCATGCAAAACATCACTTGGACATTCACCCGCCATGATGCAGAGCACGGGCTTCCGCTACAACACGTTTTGGCGAACGAGGCAGGGTCTGTCCGTTTACATCTTGTCGTAAACGGTAAATCCCAGTTGCTTGTTATATTTGTTAGGGCTTGTTCGTTATAGGGCCACTTTTTGGTGAACCACTGTGGCGGTTCCAGTGTCTCATTCTCCCCTCAAAGTTCCCTCCCTGCATCGGCCAATCTGTTGCAGCAACGCCATTGTGCATTGAGACAGATGGCTTGATTTTTTGATTTAGTCAATTCGCATGTTATTGTTATATCTTTCTTCTTGTTCCGAGCCAGAGGAAAAGTCCGAGACACTGGCCTAGAGTCTGAGATCAAGGCATGACGCTAAAACAAAAGTAAGGGGTGAGCCAAAAAGGCGACGCAAGGACTTTCTTTCCCCACGTTCTGTTGCACGAGATAGTTTCTATCCTTTTCCCTGTTTACTTGTTATTTTTTTTTTTTCCTTTCTTCTCTGATTACTTGAATTATTTATTGGAGAGCCTTGATTCAAAAAAGCAATGTCAGTTGGTTCATGCAATTTACATCTGACATCACTACTTCATCTGCCAACCCACACCACCCCTGGACGCGGCCCTGATTAGCGATGCTATTAATCTAATTACTAGCTCTTTCGGTCCAGGGGACACGCGAGATAAAGGGTACTCTTCCTCGCTTGTCGTCTTTCTGATCACCAGCCAGTATCGGCACTCAAATATCCTTGTTCTCTCTTTTCTCTGTCTCGGAGACCTCCGTGCTTGATTGCTCCAGGCACTCGTCTCGCTTGTGCCTGCATCCCGCCGCATGACGCGTGCCGAGGCAGTTTCAACCGTTTTCTGTGGCAGCACGGAGTCTATTTACACGTCATTTCCCTCCCCACGCGTCTACGACTTACAACCTTGCAAAAACTTCCCCCAAAAAAAGGACCAAGAAGTCTTCCTTCTTGCCGCCGGGCATGGCTTCCTACTACCAAACGGGACCGTCAGCGCTGCCGCAGCAACTGCAGTCCACGCCGCCAGCTGTGCCCGTCTCCATCACCATCTGCGGCGATGGTGGCTGCGGCAAGTCGTCCATTACGCTGCGCCTGGTGCGCTCGCAGTGGACGTCCGAGTACGACCCGACCATTGAGGACAACTACTCGGTGACGCGCCGCGTCGACGGCACCACCTACACGCTGTCGCTGACGGACACGGCCGGCCAGGAAGAGTACCGCAGCATGTGGGCGAGCTCCAACCTGGGCGCCGACGCCTTTCTCCTCGTTTACGACATTACCTCGGCCGACTCGCTTGACGAGCTGCAGTACTTTAACGACTTGATCGACATGGAGGCGGAGACGCGGCTAGACAATGCGGAGCGCGCGCGGCGGGCCGGGCTGCCCGGCGGCGGGGTGGCTGTGGGTGTGGATGGTAAAATGTCCAAAAACTCGAGGCCGGCGCCGAGGGTCGTGCCTCCGGTCAAAATTGTTGCCGGCAACAAGTGCGATCTTCAGCAGAGCAGGCAGGTGCCGGCCGCGGTCGGCCTCGACTGGGCGCGCAAGCGTGGGTGCGGCTTCATGGAGACGAGCGCGCGGCTCGAGGTGAATATCGAAGAGACGTTTGCGCTGCTGGTCCGGCGCGTCATGGAGCGCAGGCAGCTCGCCCAGATGGGCATCCTCGACAACACGGAGATGAATGCGCGGGGCATGACGAAGCCCCTGACGCCGCTGCCGCACGAGCATGGCGCGGCGGCGCCGGAGAAGCGCGGCGGTATGGGAGGGCCGCGCATCACTGGCGAGCGCTTTGGGCGTGGGAAAGGCGGGTTCTGGAAGAGGTTGCGATGTTGGTAATGGGGGCGGTGGTGGAGTGGGTGGCATGTTTTGTGCATTTCGCATGGTTTTGGGACGAGTGATGGTGTTTTTTTACAGACACGGCCGCATTTTGGGACGGTTGTGGAAACATGGCTTTGCTTCCTTTTTTTTTATTACATCTTTTTTTTTCTTCATTTTTTTATACCTTGGCTTTGGAATTTGGGTAGGACTTTTGCTTGCTTGCAGAGATACCAAGACTGCACGATTACGGCGCCACGGAGGTACAAAATCATGGCGGAGGAACGACTGGGTTTTTATTTGGATAATGGGGGGCACGCACTTTTGTTTTTCTGGAATACAAAGACAAGTATGTATTAATGATGATGGAGCAATGTACTTTTTTTTTCCCCTGGATGCTATTGAATCTATAGGTGGAAACGAGACTGGTTGTTGACTTTGCAACACCACGTCGTCCTTGGCCGATTAATGCATACTCTTTCCCCCATGTCGACGCGTTATCCATTGAAAACCATGACAGGCCACGCGGCACCTCTTGGCTAGAAGTTCAAGACTCAGGAGCTGTAGTAGGACTTATAATACTGGCTGTAGACGTTGTACTCAGGGAGCCGGTATTGCCAGGAGGAGGAAGCGCTGGAGCCGCTGGGGACGGCCTCGGAAGTCAGGTGCGGAGGCGACGGCGCCGATGCTGGCGGCGACACGACGTGTGACGAGGTGGTGAGGATGGGCTGATGGCAGATGCAACAGCGGCGACGACAGCTCAGCGTTTCGATGCAGCGTACGTCGGCGTTGTGGGCGGCGAACGCGATCGCAGACGACGATGCGCCTCTCGTCGCGGCGTCCGCAGGGGTGAGCGGCGATATGGAGGCGACACATGATGATGGTGGTGGTGGTCAATATAGTTGTTGATAGAAGCGGATTGCCTGTGAAGGGGAGATTTGCTTGAAAGATGTTGGAAAATTGTGGTGGGTGATGGACTCGACTCACTACAGAAACACGATGGGTACTCTACAGTGGTTGAAATGTCAGAAGATGCCTGATGAAGGAATGCGTTATTGGCAAGTTCACGGTGGATTTGATGTAGTCAATGAAGCGCAATCAGGCTGATGATTTGCAGCTTGGTTGGCGAACGGAACAGGACAAGTGGCAGGGTTCTTCGAGGCGCGCGTCGGTGAGCAACTGGCGGCGGCAAACGGGGAAAACGGCTGTTTGTGTGTGTCTGGCAGAGGCACGTTGAGTTGCATTTGTACTTGTTTAATATTTGCTGCATGTGGCCAGAATTGCATCTGAATAGCTGAGAAGGCTATCCAGGAAGAGAGCGTCGCATCTGGCCGCGCCGAATTAGAGGCACATCGTGACCATGTATTCCTGATTTGTAGTGGTTGGTTGCTGTGGGCAATCTGCAGACGGGTCGTGTGACTGCACCATGGCTCTTCTTTGCCTCGGATTGAACAAGTAGACATGAATTCATTTAATAGTCCATTTTTTTGTGCATTTTCTCATTCTTCTCTTTTGCTTTTACTCTTGGGCATGTCTGCGCTGTCGTGAGGCCCTGCATACGGAACACAGAGACTGGCGCCGCCGCGCCGGAGGCATCCCCTCTTTGGGCAGCCCCGGTCGCCGACCGCCGATTCGTGGGCAAGATTTCAGCGCGAGGTCCCCCGGCTAGCAAGGTCAGACGGTGCTTGCACTTTCCGTCTCGTGCACCTAATTAATGTATCCTGCTGCTGGACTAGACATGCCAACTAGCGGTCGGATGGATATTACAAATCTGCTCATTTTTGTCTTTACGCGGCCAGCTATTTCGCCATATACCGCCTGTATTAGGCCTTTGCCCGCCATTTCGGCCCGCGCCACTATAGCCAGCGTTGACGTGATTTGAGTTTTTGCCGGCCAAACATTGACGTCGACAGGCCTCGAGAGGAACTTTCCCAGACGGAGTTCTGGGAAAGAAAAAAGGTTTCCCAGATCCCGTAAAAGTTACACTCATTGACCTAAAACAATCAATGACAGACCCAGGCTAGCGACATAATGTGCTAGTTTTAGCTGTCCATGACCGCCGATAGTCCGTTGCCATCGACCGCCAATGCGCAGCGGGACCTCGCTCAATGACAGGCCTTTGTTTCTGCCTCATGGACATGTCAGTTTGCTCTTTCTTTTTTTTTTCTTCTCTTCCTCCTTCCTGCCGCGCCATTTAAAACTTTTTTTGTCCCTCACTCCTTTTTTTTTCGTTCAAGTTTGACTCCCATAGTCACCACCCAACGTCAAAGAAACAACCTATTACGTGAATTGCGGCCCCCATCTTGTCGATCCAATTGCCGTCCATTCGCCGGCATCGAATCATCTCTCTCACCACGTCTGTCCAGCCACCGGCCGACGCTCCCCTTGTACGACAAGGCATGACACCACCCGCCGCTACCGCACACGCCCAAAATGGCAATTCCTCGCCTGACGCCGCCTCCGGCCCTGCCACTCCGTTGAACCGGGCCGGCGAGCTCGAACATGTAAGTCTTTTCTCATAGAGTGCTGTTTTTTTTTCTCTCACACTTGGTCCTTTGATTTACTGGCAAAGCTTCATGGCAATTGCGCCCACGCTAACCCACTAACGCCATTAGCTCCTTCATGCCGTCGAGCAGCTCATCATACCCTTTGTCAGGGCCGCCGACCGCTCCGCCGACGAAAAGCCCACGGGCAGCATCCCCAAGGGCCGTCGCAACGTCCTCGTTCAGACCACCGCGCCCACTGAGCTCGCTGCCAAGCTCGACTTTCCTCTGCCCGCCGAGGGCCAGGGCGCAGATGGCCTGCTGACCATGATCCAGCGCATTCTCGACTACAGCGTCAACACCTGGGACCAGGGCTTCCTCGACAAGCTCTACGCCAGCAACACACCCGTGCGACCAATCCTCTTGACATCTCAAATCAGCAACGTGTGCTAACTTCGGATAGGTCGGCGTCATCTCCGACATTATCCTCTCCATCCTGAACACAAATGTACCGTCTCTTTCGAGGACCCGATTGAACCTGGCTGCGATGCTAACTTCTGCGGCCAGCTCCACGTCTACCAAGTCTCGCCTGCCCTCTCCGTGATTGAAAAGGCCACCGGCCGCGCTCTTGCCGGCCTATTTGGCTTCACCGGCGATTTTGCCGGCGGCATCACCTGCCAGGGCGGCAGCTCTAGCAACCTAACGTCGCTCGTCGTCGCGCGCAACACCCTGTATCCCGACACCAAGTCCCGCGGCATCGCGGGCTCGCGCCGCGACTTTGTCGTCTTCACCAGCGCCCACGGGCACTACTCGGTCGAGAAGAGCGCCATGATCTGCGGCCTCGGCGGCGACAGTGTGTGGGCCGTGCCTGTCGACGCCGACGGCTGCATGCGCGCCGACGCCCTGCGCGCGCACGTTCTCCGTGCCGTCGCCGAGGGCAAGACACCGCTCTATGTCAACGCCACCGCCGGCACCACTGTCCGCGGCTCATACGAGCCTTTTCGCGCCGTCTCGGCCGTTTGCAAGGAATTCGGCTTGTGGATGCACATTGACGCCAGCTGGGGAGGGCCCGTCGTCTTTTCCCGCGCTCACCGCCACAAGGTTGACGGCGCGCACCTCGCCGACTCCATCACCATTAATCCGCACAAGATGATGAACGTGCCCACCACCTGCTCGTACCTACTCGTCCCTGACACCCGCACTTTCAAGGTCGCCAACAGCACAAAGGCGGGCTACCTTTTCCACGACGCCGCCGACGACGCCGAGACGTGGGACCTCGCCGACCTCACCCTGCAGTGCGGTCGTCGCGGCGACAGCCTCAAGCTCGCGCTCGCTTGGCTCTACTACGGCGCCGACGGCTTCGAAAAGCAGATTGACCACGCCTTTGACATGGCATCGCTTCTGTACAAGCGACTCGACAAGACGGGCAACTTTACCCTGCTGTCGGACAACCCGACGCCGTGCCTCCAGGTGTGCTTTTACTACTCGCCAAACGGGGTCCTGTCAGACGACAAGGCCGTCAACACGAGAGAGACGCAGCGCATCGTGCACGCGCTGATTGAGCGCGGCTTCATGGTTGACTATGCGCCGGGCGAAAAGGGCAGCTTCCTGCGCGTCGTGGTCAATGTGCAAACGCTGCCTGGAACCATGGAGGGTTTGGCCAAGGCGCTGAACGAGGTGGGCGCACAGGGTCAATGATGCACATGAATATACAAATATAGATTCGATACAACAGACACTGCCTATTAGCTTAGATAGACAAGAAATAAAACAATTGGAAGAAAGTAACCGTTGTCGTTGTTTGAACCTGGCTGGCTTAATAAGCATGACACTTGCATGGTTGTGCAACTTGAAATGAACGCCGCTCACGAGACATTTTCTTTTCCTTTCAGCATTGCCTTTCCCGGGGTGCGCGAGCTCACTTGGTCATTGTGACAACCCGCAACCTGCGCGGTCAAGGACAATAGCTGCAACATCCTTTTCGAGCTTGCTGTACGAGCCCAAAAAACGAGTATTCTATAAACGCTTCAATTCGCCCTGCCGCCGTTTGTGTCCTGAAGCGTCGTGCCTGGGCAATGCAAACAAAACAGTGTAGATGCGGAGCGGGCGACATATACGTGTTTCGAGGGTAGAGAATCTCTACTATCTGGCGTTCACAGCCGACTTCCCTGCAGAAGAGGTGTAAGACGCAGACTTCAAGACTTTTCGACGCTTGTGGCGCCTCAACAGCGCCAATATTGTTCGGCAGAAACTGTGGAACCACGATAAAGATTCAAATCACCTCAATCACTCTCCGAATGCTAACTAGAATGCCCAAGAGATTTCAACTGTTGATTGCCGCTTGGCCCCGGGACGCAAGGTCTCGATACTGATTTTCTGCCAGACCTACCGTTTCTACACAGTGTCATTCAACACGTGCTCTAGGCCATTATCAAGTCTCCATCTCAGCGTCTTTCTCGACAAAGCCCAATGCGGCAAGCATGTTCTCGAGACTCCAGACCGATATTCCTGGTGGCCCAAAAACATCGTGCAGCTTGCAATCGCACGGCAAATGGCCATGAACAACGACCCCGTCCCCAGTTCTCATTTTCATCCGGTCTTTCAATCTCGGAAACAAGAAATTACCTCGATGCCCCAGGTGCAGTCTCTTCCTCATGTCAGGATCTAGAGTCTCCAGATACGCCTCGAGACGGCCCAGGTCAGAATCATTTACAGCCTCCGCCATGCGCCGCGGGTTGTAATCATGTCGTCGAAATATGTACTTGTAAAAGTTCAACAGTTGCCATTTTTCCCAACTGCTTGTCAGGTGGAAACCAAAATTGCTATCGCACTCGAGGTCAAAGTGCGTCTCAAAAGGGCAGTGGCAATCACGATTTTCGTGCAATCGAAAGCAGTCACAGAAGCGTCCCGAGAGCGCGTGCTCGACACTCACCATGAGTCGAAATACCTTGTACTCGGAGACATCTGGTCGACACGGGAGTATTCCTTGGCTCTCCAACGCCAAAAGGTCAATTCCGTGAGCGCGCATCAAGCCTGCCAGGCTCCGTGTCTCATAGGCGGAAACGACATCGTCAAAGGTGGCAGCCGAGGCTGCCAGCGCCAGGTACGCCCTCGCAAGCTGTTCACGGTGCGAGAACGACCTGCAGTGGCAGAAACCAAACTTGATCCAAAGCGACGACGTCACGTCCGGGAGGCGCCAGAGACTGGGCTGAATAGTCACGTACAGGTCCAGCACGTCTCTTTGTGAGCTGCTCAACGTAGGCCTGTTCTGCATTCTTTCCGTCACATTGAGAGATTCAAAGGCACTGATGATGGCGACGATCCAGATCTCATACTCGTCCTTGCCTCTGTTCGGGATGGGAAACGTCTTCGGTGAGCAGCGATCCAAGAACCACGCCACGCAGCTGCATTCTTTTGTTTTCGAGAGCCTCGCAACCTCTCGCTCCAACTCGCAGAATCTGGTCATGAAATGGCAGAGGTTTCCGGCCTCGAGCTCCTCCTGCAACCCTCGCACGGCCGGCCGAAGTCTACTCAACAGGGTCGCGTACAAGCAGATGAGGTTGAGCACCTCGACTATGTCTGCGCAATTGTTAAAGCCAAAGGCACGGCAGAGGTCGTCATCGGCAAAGAGATAAACAAACGCATTGTACATCCGTTCTTTATCCTCGGATTGAATCTCCTTGCTGACTCTGCGTATGGTCAGCCGCAGAAAATCTACGTCGTTGGGTCGGTCGGGCAGCCGGCAGCTGAAGACGTGAGTAGCCGCGTGGCGTTTCTTGCACGCAGACGAGCAATAGTATGTCCAGCACGAGCGGCATCGATAACTCGCAGCGTCGCCACAGCGCCGACATGGCTGTCGATCCGTGACGTGAACAGGAGGCATCTCGTTCATAGCTTCCAGCCCGTCTTTTCTTCTCCCATGATTGATTTTGGCCACCTCGGCCTCGTATATCGGAATATCCATCTTGGGTCCATACTTACTATTGCCGCCGAGCACAGTCGCGTAGCCCGGGTTCTCATGCGACGGGAGAAACTCCATCTGCTGGTCCGTGGCCGTCACTCCGCCAAACCCAAGCATCATCCGGCTGCGAGGCTGTCAGAACCTGAGTCACTCCTCCAGCAAGACCGAGCTTTCATACCTTGCCACCTGAGGCCTGGTAGTGTACTCTGGCCGCTCCCTACGCACCGCCTTGGCCGTCGACAGGGCGGCGGACGACTGCTGTAACATGTTGGACGGGGCGGGCGGCGTCGACGCAGACAAGAGGCGCTGCAGAAGCGCCCGCAGAAGTTGCGTGAATCGCTGGACCAGCTCGGCTGCTGAAGACGGAAGCGACGGCGGCAGTGCCCACAACGAAAACAGCGCCAGATGGGTGCCGCGAGAGTGTAGCGGCTCGTCAGCGAGGGGGGAGAGGCTGCACATGGTCGCGCAAAAGAAGCACAGCTTTTTTGAGCAGCCGATGTATGGAAACACTCTGCCGTTGGGTCCGCTACCAGTCTGAGCCCACTGCAGGAAGTGGCTAACGAGTTGCATCTCTGCGTGTATTGGTTTTTGCACGCGGGTCGTTTTGAGGAATCCCTTTACCTTGTCTCGGCGCGAAAAGAAATCGCCCCAGTTAGGGAAAGAATTGATGCCGAGCGATGTAAGCACTTCAACGGGCGTTTGCCTGAACATACGCCCTGGCTTGTACGCTACGGGCGAGGGGAAAATCTGTTGAAATCTTATAGACGTGAGGCCTGTCTTGGAGGCCAACTGTTCAAATGCGACAGCCGCATGATAAATGCGTGTCAGGTAAAGCAGCGCAGACCACGCCTTCTTGAATCGGCGCTCGTCGTGAAGCGCTCGACGGAGAAGGCCCTTTAACGCGGGTCGTCGCCGGGGATGGCGCACGATGCTATGTAGGCCTTGGAGGAGACCCTTAATCGCAGCCTGCTGAACGGTATGAGCAGTCCCAAAGTGGTGCATAATGCTCCGAAACACGCTTTGGACGAGCTCCTCGCCCTCGCGATCAGTCAAGCAGTCCACGGCAATGTCCGAATCGGAATCGTCGCCTGTGCTTGCTATTCGAATCTCATAGTCGAAATCATGGTCATCTTTCCAGATCCTCGTTGTGCATCTTTTGCAACTATGTTCGAGGTTCTGGCTAGTGAGTGCTGCCTTCTTCGGTGCAAGGGCGCGAGCAGCCGCTTCCAGCGTGTTGGCGAGCACATTGGCGTAATGCTTGACACGGGGCATCTGATGCGCAAACATCAGATCAAGCATTCGCTCGACACACTCTAATTGTCCAAGCTCTGCGTCTGCTTGTTAGCTGCGACGTGGCCATCATGTAGCTTGCGGTGCTCAATGACAAAAGGAACAGAATTCGCTTGCCGCTCGCTGCTATGCGCTGGTATACTTGCTCCAAATTGCGCAGAAATTCGACATCATCTTCATCCAGTCCCTCATTCTTGGCGCAGAAGAACGTGGCCGTGCTCGCATCTTCCACCATCATTACGCTCGTCACATGCTTCGCGTCCTGCTTTCGCTGCTCTACCGCCGCCACTCTGCCTTGTGCCGTTTTGAACCTCGCCAAGACTTCTGCGATGCGGTCCAGTGCGCTGCGCTTGATGCTCTCCACGTCCTCCTGGTCGCCCGATGGAATGGAGGCCTCAAACTCGGTCTCATCGACAGACTCGTCCGCCTCTTCCAGCTCGCATCCGTGTTCCTGGGTCGAGAACGGGGACTCGGCTGTGCGCTCTTCCTCCTCCTCCTCCTCGTCGCTCTGGCACAAGTCCGCGGCCCGACGAGTGATGAATGACAGGATACCAACAAGGGCAGAGACTTCCTTTTGCAAGTCGACCAGTTCGTTCATTTTTGAGCAGGCTGCTTTGTCATCGAGAAAAAAACTCTTGTGCGCCATCTCAGCCCACAGAGGACTCTTTCAGGTGCCAAGCTGCAGGCAGCATCACATGAGCGGCTTCGCCAGCTTCCAACCTTAGTCATCATGGTCAAAAAGGGCTCGCTTTGCAGAGGAATGTAGAAAATGTTATAAACAAGAACAGTAATTTGAGGTGGGAGCTGAAAAGGGCGACACTATGAGTTGGAAATGTTAATCTCTAGAGCTTTGCGACTGCTGAGGTGTGGGAAGCAGGAAAGCCAAAGCAAGGCAAAGAAAAAAAAAACAGGCAATAGGTTATTATAGGTGCGGTATGAATTACCAGTTGATTCGTTTGGAAAGGGGAAATCTATCGTATGGTACGGCCACAGAGGCGACGAAGATATGGCTGCCACAGAATGGGTGGCACTTGCGCACCAGCTGTTCATTCGGGCAGCGAATGGTGTAGATGCCGTAAAAGGAACGCTCGAATTTGGGAAAACTCGATTGTTTTTCAATAGTTCCAGAGGCCCGTTATTTGCCAACTGCGCCTTAGGAATTGTCAAATTAATTGAGGCTGGTGGAATGACTGGTAGCTGTTGGACACTGCGAACCCATACACCCGCTGTAGCACTAAAGCGGCACGTTGCGTGTCCACGCCCTACCACCACCAACATTCCAAATCTGTTCTCTATGCATATAAATTACGAAGCTCTCACAACAATTCAACATAAAAAATCGTCCCTGATCCGTTCGTGACCATGCGGATTTGCCGTACTTTACTGTGGAAGCCAAAAGGGTCGTGCGCTTGGACAGTAAGTAAGAGGCCCGTAACCTGCGTCAGAGGACTCTGTAACTGCTAAGCACGGAGTTCTGGCCCCAAATAAGAGCGTTGATCGGGCATTGAAACTAAATTAAATAGCCTCGGAATCGACGTTGTCGACGTTGAGCCACCAAAAAGAATTAGTTACAATAAGTTTACGCGGCTTCAGAGTTAAGAGCAGGACTGCTTCCATGGGATGTCACCGAGACTTTGGCTTCAACCCACCTTGGCCAGTGAACAAACAGCAGCGTCCAATCTGCCAATCTACCCTTCCGCTAGGTTTTTTTGCTCAAATCTACCGCATTGCTGGTAGTCTTCAGCATTAGTTGCAGCGCCAAGCCGCGTGACAACCAGCAAGACCCCTTCGTTGCCCTTGTACACGGACATGCGGCTCTCACGGCATAGACGCTCCGCCCGCCCGCCCCGCGGAGGCATGACCAGGACTGAAACCCGCAAAAGAAGAAGAAACCAAATACTCAAATACTTGGGCCTCCCCGCAAAAAAAAAACAAAAAAAAAAGGCTAAAACGAAAACGCACTGGAGATAACACAATCTCGGAACTTTTCCAATACCGTTGGTGTCAAATTAGGTTCCGGCTAGCTGGGACAAGAGGGAGGGGCATCGTTTCAAGCCAAGCAGCACAGCGATTTTCCGAGTCGAATCAAAGGGAACAATACGCACCTTGGAGGCCCAATCGTCAATTTCTGAGGGGTCAGAAGTTATTGTGTAGATTGGCTGGTTTTTCACGTCGTCGCAAGGCTGCATGCACTCTGATCGCGATCAAGGGAGACGACGCAGATCCCCCAACAACTAGGTCGGCTTTCGAGATCTCGATGTGTTGCTGGCCATCGCCGTGAAAACATGTCCTTTTTTGCTTTTTGCTTTTTGCCCTTTTTTTTTTGGACTTGGGGGACTTGATGCAAATCTCGCAGCTTTTTGCTGCAGATCGACAGGCAATCATAACCCCCACGGTGATGGGCAAAGAAATAGTACGTCATACCTGGAATTGAGAAGCTGAGCATCTGAGCAAGGGCGAGGGCTACGACCACTCCAACCAGGGAGTGTCGTGATCGATAGCCGCGGAGCTCGGTGCCGTGTGCACAATCATGTGGCTTTGCTAGGGTCTTGCCACAGATTCTTTATGATGCCGTGGCGCCAAACAGTGCGGCAATCGGGCGCTTGCATTAAAGGAAACTTTTCGCAGCATTTCTAGACTTGGAGGAGCGGCATCTCGTCGTCTCATCTGCCGATTGGCTCATCTCTGCCGTGCTTGCCCATCAAATGACGAGAGAATGCGGGCAGACGGCGGGCAGATGGCGGGCAGACGGCGGACAGCGGGCGGGCAGCGGGCAAGCAGCGGGCAAGAAGGTCCTTTCCATGTCGATACGTGGCAAGCGTGGCAAAGTCGAGACGTGGCTGTTGTGTAAGAATGAAGATCAACTAGACGGAAAAGGCACAAACGTGTTGGACAGTGTGGCTGCTACGCAAGAATGAGGTTGCGCCACGGGAAACAGGTGTGGCTAGTACCCATCAGTGCATGGTCAAAATCTCGATGGAGAAGTGCTGCCTTTTCGATGCGCTTCAGACAGAGAGATGGGCAACATGGACATTCCAAATCCAACTTATCCATGTGGCAGATGTGGCGACACCTCCATTAAATTTCGGGCTCGAATGAAAAGAGAGCCCACCAAAACGCCAAAATGCCAAAACGCCAAACCCGACGCTTTTTTAGTTCTGCAACCCAAGCCACTTATTTAGGTCTGCACGCCTGTCAGGTTTCACACTGCCAGGTGTAATTGTGATGCGTACGTTAATGTCTTGGTGTGATGCTGAAAGTGAGGGCACGGCCATGTGCAAATAAGGCGTAGCATCTAGTTGTACATGCCCGATGCGTGAAGGCGGGTGAGTATGGCACCAACGACGTCAATATGACACATTTCGGCTTGCACACATTGGAAACTCGATTTTTTCATCAGCTGTGCAGCGCAACATGCAGCCAACGATGGAGATGCTGAGATCTGACGGAGTTGTGACGTGACATGTGCAGTCCACAAAGCCCACGCAGCCACGTATCTAGGGCCTTCGTCCCAGAACGGTTAGCCGCAGCTACTTCATAAGCGTTGCATACCAGCGAGCACAGGAGACAGCACGGGCTTCAGATCTAGAAGACGCTGGAAGAAAGCCATCTTCTCTGGGTTCGTCGTAAATAGCGATATCGCGCTACGTCCAATAGTCGAATTGAGAGAACTCAGGCTCGGGGTCTGAACAGAAAAATAATGTTCACAACCTTGATTTCTTGTCTAGGAAATTGTCAGTGCTGACTGCTTCGGGCACGTGTGGCGTCAAAGGGTGCAGGCTGGGGGGGTGTAGGGTCGTGAAAAGACCCTCTTCTCAGCAAAAATCAAGGGATTTTCCAAACTGAGCCCTGGCGGGTCGGAAGGAAAAGCCAAGGCAGGGCCCCTGAAATCAATAATTGCAGCTTTGATCCACGGCCTAGACGCTGGGAATCTGAGGTGTGGTGCAGTCTCAGAACGATGGTGGAGTGGCTGTGACGTCAGAGTGGCCGAGGTTGTGGCTTGTGTCGGCAGATTTGTAGTGAATGATGGGTCGCTGACGCCCCATCCCACTGACGGTGTGGCTCAGCATCCCACTCTGTGGCTTGCACTGCGGGGAGGACCTGTGCCTAACGGAAGGAAGAAGAGTCTCTTTTTATTTGTTTCCGTATTGACGGCAATTGGTAAGGCCGGCTTTTTCTTGGCGGCACCAGGACCATTGCTGACCCGCGGAGCATACACTCCGGGTATACGATGCAATCGCTCCGGGTATACGATGCAATCGTGTACTTCTCAACAGATTTGAAAAGAGTCCTGGGTGACCCATGACAAAGTAACCTTGATGCAGGAATGATTCTGTTTCAACAATCCAAAAAATGACTGTCGGAATGAAATTTTGAGGCGCGCGCAAAGTCGTCGTGTGCAGTGAGTCGCCATGGCTGCATGCAGAAGTGACCAAACAGGTGGGTGGGGACGATTGGCTAAAAAAAAGGCTTGACGGCAAGATTTGGAGCCGTTGCAAAAGATTGACCCAAAAGTGCGGTTGACAAGGTCAGCCAACAGCTATGGTGAGCAGGCCGATAACGGTCGGGATTGTGATTTAAATAGACCAAACCGGTAAATCTGAAGGGCAAAAAAGAAACTAAAGGACACGCGTCTCCGGAAGTTTTGGACCTAAATGCCGCGTCAAGGAAGGAAGAGAAACGGAATCTCAATGTTGGAGTACCGATGCTCGATGCCTTGGTCAGGAGAGGTGGAGGTGGCAGTCAGAAAGCATGTTTTAGAGGTGTGTTAATAGCGCCAGGGATCCGTTGGATAAGAGCTCAATTAGGCAGCGGGTTTGATGTGCTTGCCTCGTTGGCGAGTAGCCAGTCAGATTGCATGGGGAGAGGCACATCTCGATGTCGCGGCGGGCCAACGCACTAACCAACTAATAAATGTGGCGCGAGCTGGATTCGTGAGGCGGGCACGGCAGGTTAGCGGGCTGGGATGCTAAGCTTGTGTCCGACGGTCGTCTCGGACATTCGCAACGGCAGGCTATCCCAGAACTAACTAGAAGGGCAGCAGGACGATTCGGTTCTCTGCATGGTGGTGAGACGAAAAGAGGGAGTAATTGCGCAAGGCTTAGAATTAGTAATAAATGCCATATTTTTCCATTGCCCAGTGTAGCACTCTGCGCATGATGCATCGGCATCCTGTGCTGCTCAGGTAATGCAACAACAAGATGTCGGCATTCTCTTCTGGAAACGTACAATGAGGTGGCTCGTCTTATCGAATCGGTACTTTCTCCCGTATCGAGGGAAATTGCCAGTTGAAGCTATTGGTCAGAGAAGTAGCAGAGCGTGAGCTGAGCGTGAGTGTGAGCGTGTTTGAAGATTGACGCTTGGGCTCTCGGCTCTAGCCTCTATTTATTAGGGCTCGAGGCTGTCCCTGGTAATCCGGCTGTAGCCCGAGGGTAGAGCTTCAGCTACAGACCATCACAGAAAGCTAGAATTATTGAATATGGCATGGCGACAAGGGTGTAAAGAATGGTGGAGTGGTAATCCGTAGTGTGAAGCTAGGTGTGTCTTGAGGTGGACAAGGATATGCAAACAGCGGTACGGAGTAGCACTGCGAATTCAACAGTATCGTAGCCAGTGGGTCTTGGCACTTGGTAGTAAATCACGACGCACAATCGCCATGCATTGCGACTCGGAATCATCACCAATAATTTTTCGCATCCACGTGCCTAAACACCGAAGCCCTGAGTACAAGTAGACATCTGATCCGTGAAAAAAGGAAGCAATTACTTGGGCATGCTGCGTCATTCGTACGAGGCTGCCAACTGCCAAGCCCACGGTTGACGGCCAAGCAAACGCCTGGGGAGCCCGCCAATTATTCCCCATCAGGAACCACCAATAATTTCAAAATAAATTTCACTAGCTCGTTTCGGCAGCAAAAAGCAGGTAAATGCAGCTCGCAGCTGGCAGCCAAACAGCTGGCAGCTGGCAGCTCATAGCAAATCGGATAACGGAGGGAGGGGGGGTGTGCCGATTCCCCGGCCCCAGCTCATTGCCGGTCCCACAGTTTGAAAATCGACGTCCATCGCCTGCATCGACAACCACCTAAAGTATTGTCATTATTTTCATTATTCTCGCCCACTTCCCTCCGCTCCCCCCCTTCTGCCACCTAAGCTCCATTTACGGGTTTGCGCTTTTTGTTCCTCGGGTGGTTGGACAGCGTCCACCCCTCTCGGCCGAACATGTCCTACTTTTTACTTATTAGACCCATGACTGCCCTCCGTTTCTTCGCATATTCCTATTCCACCTCTGGATTCCCAACATCTCTCAAAATTCCCCGAGCCATATTATATTAATATTACGCCTAATACCCCCGCCACCTCGCGCTCTTTCTTGCACCACCAATAAACACAACCACTACCGCCGCCACATTAATAAACAACAAACTACCATCAGACTATTATCAGACTTGACTTTACTCTCGCGTCAAGAGTGTTCCTAGTCCAGAAGCTTCCGTGACCCAACTCTTTGCTTCCGCCGCAGTTGTTCTAGTGCCACTTGGCCCTTTGTTGAGCAGCCATATCTGCTGAGTCACTGGTACCTTCATCCACCAGCACCTTCACATCCAGTCACCTTATGAGCAAGGTTCGGCTAGTGCCGCTCGCGATCAGAGTTCGCTTGACAGCTACGTACCTGCCAAAAAAAAGAAACGGTTTCTTCTATTTAAATCAAAACTTGCACCGGCCCGCGTGCAGATACTCGACAACATGAGAAGCAACTCTTTAGACTTTAGCAGTTTTGAAACCATGCCTATGCCCGCAGCCCCCAAAAAGGTATGCTTCCACTACGGCCTCATCTCTCACCACCAATTTTGCTAACTGCCTCAAAAAGACGGAGAGATCCCATGAAGAGAACCAGGAGCGAGCATACATTGCGGCCTCGCGCCGCACAGACCGCAGCCTCGAGGCTCGCGTCCAGTCAGCACGAATGGCCAGCGATATACACAAGCGACGTACTGGCAAGAGCTTCCGCATCACCGACGATATTGTCATGAAGGAGGAAATGTACGAGGAGGAAGACGACGATCTTCCTCGCTCCTACAGAGTCCTCGGTCCTCATATGAAAACGTCTTCGTCCGAACTTAACTATAGAGCAGGGGCATACTTTTCTAACAGAGTTGCTCTGTCGGAATTGGTCGCTCGTACGGATGATGATTGGCGAAACAACGAGATCAACAAGAGGTTCGCACAGCTGTTTCCCCAACACGCCCGTCAGAACTCAGATACGTCGCCTGTGTCTCCCCCTCAGCCGCCGCAGCAACTACCTCAACAGCAGCAGCCGCAACAGCAGCAGCAGCAACACTCCCCATTCCCTCAGCGCCCGCAGCCCGTGCCTCAGCAGTTTCACTCGATGCCTTCGCATTCTGACCCATTTCCATCGGCCCATCAATTTTATGCCCAGCCACACCAAACAGTTCAGCACGCTAGAACATTCTCTACCTCTGCTGTCAGCCAATGCTCACCGCAGCACCCAGAGTTTCTGCGACAAGATTCTGGCGTTGCTTTGCCTGGATCGCCACCCACCTTTCACCACTCTCCCCACCCCGATTCTCCTATGGACTTGGGCTCCAACCGGTCTGCATTCACGGCCGAATTACCCTCGGAGGCTAGAATGATGATGATGAGTGGCGTCGACATGAATGCGGGCTACGACTCTGCCTCTCAAACTTGGCCAAGCATGGACGCAACATTCGACATGCCAGGCGTCCCTCGTGGCTCTAGGAACGAAGAGGAGCAAGTCGTTTCCCCAACCAGCGACACCTTTGACATCTCCAACCTTAGGTGGGACCCGATGATGGCTCAAGTGGACGACTCGACATGGAATACGTTTATTAACGACAATGCCTGGACTGACGGCCAATAACGAGCTTCATACAAAGGCAGTAGTTGGTTTTTTTTTCTGTATTGATTTATATACCTATTGTTAGTTTATATGCTAAAGCGCAGCTGTACACGAACACGACGACTTGGGGATAGCGAAGTATGGGTAACTTTTGTTCATACGTGAAAAAAGGGTTCAATTCAGCGAGGGGAGTTGATTTTGGAGTTTATGTTCTTCCTTTCATGACGACTATACCGCCATCGGGTGGCGGATGCATACGGAATAAAACCAGCAACACTGCTGGATTCAACATTGGCCTAGAAAATACATGAGAGCCTATATATTCATACACGAGTTTTTTCCATGACATTGACCAAGACTACATGACATTGGCCAAGACGCACGACATTGACCAAGACGCACGACATTGACCAAGACGCACGACATTAACCAAGACGCACGAGGCGGATCATTTTGTCAATATTTTTGTCAATATTTTTGTCAATATTTTTTGTCAATATTTTTTGTCAATATTTTTGTCAATTACTTTGACCAAGATGTATGAGGGCCAATATTGACCTGAATCAGTTAACCAAGATGTAGGCGAGCGCAATGGAAAGACTTTCGATGAATCACGAATAAGTCTCGAAGCTCAAGACTCAAGCCTCAGATTTTAAGTGTCAAGCCTACAGTCTCAAATCTAAGTGTCGAGCCTACAATCTTAAATCTGTGTCGAGCCTACAGTCTCAAATCTAAGTGTCGAGCCTACAATCTTAAATCTGTCTCAAGCCTACAGTCTCATGCTTCAATTTTCAAGCCTCAATCTCAGGCCCATATTGTCAAGCCCCAAAGCTCAAGAGTTCGGCCGGCGAGACTCACGCCTCGGGCACTTAAGGCTCAAATCTTAAGCCGTGAGTATCAAGCCTCTCAGGTTTCGTGAAAACCATTGGTCAGAATTCAAGTTTCTAACAAACTTAGCAAGGACAAATGACGTGGAGGCAAGATATCATTCTCTCGGCTAAGTACGATCATGGCCCGCTAACAAAAAGGCTGGTTGAGCGGCTCTTGGGGAAAAGCAGCAAGCAGCTCAATCATCGGGTAGCAAGACACTGGTTCTAGAACGACTCCCATTTCCGGAATTTATTGGCACAACTCCACACAAAAACTCTACGCTGAGAGCGCATACTCGTGCTGCCTTGAGCTGGTGGTGTTTCGCCCCAAGTATCACTACTTTTGGAACTTTTGAGCTGCTGGGACCAACTCAAAACAGTCACTCCGCTCCGTTCCGGCGGCCGACTAAAGGGAAAGGGGAGCTGCTTCTTTGTTAGTTACTGTTTAGTTGGTTCATTAGGCGGTTAGCGTGACCGGATAGGGAATCTTGGGCCGACCCTTCTATGCATCTAGCTAGGCGAAACTAAGTAGATCTAAGGTACACTTGTTCTCTGTAATGTCCGATCTCGCGCCACGTCGAAGCCGGAAGAAATTTTAAAAAGCTTTTTTGAAGCGACGTCCCTCGTTTTGGTATATAAGCCACGGTGGCAAAGCAAAAGTGGCAGCAATGATGAGAAAGGAAGTCGAGGAGGATATAAAAAGGGGAACAAAGAAACCACCAAGAAAACAAAAAGTAGAGGTGAAAAAAGGTGTACCGAGGGGACCTCTCTTGCGCCAGAATATGCAATGAAAAAAGAATTGGTGAAAACAAAGAGCAAGAAGCAAGAATTACATGCGAAAAGCCCATTGGTGCGCTTCTTTTTCTCTCCATCACCACTGTCAAAGCCAAGAAGTGGCTTACACCTATACGCACTTGAACAAGCACGTAGTAGTTGCAGCCAACGTGTGTCAGAGCTACGGTCGTCGATACCACGTCGGGACGGCGGGAGCGAACCCCGTGGCGCCATACGCAATCAAACCCTGCTGCTGCTGCTGCTGCTGCTGCTGCTGCTGCGGGTATCCTCCCGCTCGCGGGGCCGAGTACACGATACCCTGATGGCTTTGTAATTGGGCCGCGGCCGGCGGCGGGTAGGCGTAGCGCTGCCCGACCATTTGCATCTGTTGCTGTTGCGGCTGATGATGCGACGACGGGGCAAAGCAGCCCGGCCGGGTCATGTACGCGGCCACGTGCTGCTGTTGTTGGTGTTGTTGCTGCTGCTGCTGCTGCGGGACGAAGCCAGCCTGCGTGGGGATGCCTGTTGCTTATTTCTTCCCTTGTTAGATGGCTGACAAGTTCTACCAGAATGCAAAAAGAGGGGGAGGGGGGGGTTTATACGGACCTGTGGCGGGAAAGCCGTAGTTCATGACGCCGCGATTATTGGGAGCGTGATGTGGCGGAGGGGCGCCGTATACATGTGAAGACTGAGACTGATAGCCTGCGACTGGGACGGGGCCTGTGAAGAGGACAGCTTGCGAAGCGCGGGGGGTGCTGCCGCCACCGCATGGATACATTTGGCGAGCCTGGCGAGAGGCATAGGAGCCGGGGGCGGCGCCGGTGCAGTCGTAGGCACCACGTGGCATTGTTGGTTGAGGGAGAGGCGAGGGGTAGGAGGCTGTTGGTTGTGTCGAGAAGTGAGTGTTGTTCGTACAGAGAAAGAATGGCGTATAGCAAGTACAAAGAGGATGAAGACTAGGGCAAGTAAAGGTAGATTGCGAAAAAGAAGAGAGCGAGATGAGAGAGGGCGATTTGGTTGTTTGAGACACGCAGTTATTTCTCTTATACAACGAAACGGACAAGATGTTGGTGATGCTGTGAGAGAAGAGGCACGGAGAAGCCGAGTGTGTTTTTTTTTTTTTCTTCACCAGGCTTCTTACTCGTGCTTCACATGGCATTCAAAACACGATGAATCTCGGCTGAATTAATGATCGATAAAGGGGGACCCCCTCCTCGTGGGAGAACAAAGTGAAGGGCAATCTGAACAACAATGGCTCAATCGAGCCCGTTTGCGTCTTGGTCTTTGCATTCACCTGGGCCAGCCTGAGCCTCTCAACGTGCCGTTTCGGACTTGCATTGGGGGGCCAGAAAAAGGATAAATCAGGAAATAGATGCAAAAAAAAAAAAAAAAAGAAAAAAAGAAAGAGAGA